GAAATGTTACACTACACAAAGTAATGTAACTATCTTCAATATCTTGAGGTGCACCCTTTTGGCGAGCTTCGAAATCACCTGAGGCTTGACACCAAGGCTCAGGCTCTTCATCACAAACTCATCCTTGAGATCTTGATGGGTCTACTGCACACACCTGCGACACACCGAACGTTCGACACAGGACAAAATAGAAACCGCGCACGACAAAAATAGAAACCGCGCGCGAGACACAAACGACCGCGTAACACGCGTCTAGCGATAACTCGCTATTGACTCGACACACACACTCGACATCATGACTCAACATTCACACACAATTATAAGCATGAAATATATATTATCCCATGCCCTCATACCATTCCATACACACACACATGCACGCACACGGACAACAAGCCGAGTGCAAACCATAGGGTTGCACCAACAACCAGGACGACCACGCCTCTCGGTCGACCTCCTCCAGGTCGACGACCCTTCTGGTCGACCAGCTCCACGTCGACTAGCACTAAGTCGGCCAACGCAGTTGTCGGCCGACCACCCACGTCGGCCACCCGAAGTCGGCGTCACGAAGTTGACGCCCCGCTACTCGACGCCCAACTGCTCGGCGTCCTGAGTCGAGGTCGACGTCGGCCCCTCCTTCGTCGACCACCAGGTCCAGTCGACCACCCGCAGGTAGACCAGCAGTCCATCAGCCGACCACCGAAGTCGGCTTCCCCAAGTTGACGTCACCAAGTTGACGTCCTCCGCAGGTCGACTCCTAAGTCGACCTCCCCGAAGTTGGCGCCACCCTGAAGTCGGCGCCCGTGCAGTGGTCCCCGTGCAGGTCGACCTCCTCGTCAACCAGCTCGCCCACTGCTGCAGGTCGGCTGCTCCCCTCACACCCGACCACGATGTCGGCTCCGCCCAAGCGAGGACGGGGCCAACACACAACTCCCGTTGACAAAATTTCCTGGAAGCACGCGGATGGCAGTGCATTCAAGATTCAGCTTGTTCAGGCAGGCGAGCTGGGTCAAAGAAGCAGGGAGCTTTTCCAGGCTAGAGCAGTTAGACAGATCAAGCTCCTTTAGCATGGATAGCGCACCGATGTTGGCAGGAAGGGAAGTCAGCTTGGGTGCATTAACCGCCAAGGAGGTCAGGTGGTGAAGCTGACATATCGTTTCCGGCAGCACTTTCAGTTCTGGAGTATTCTCTATCTGCAAGTGCTGGAGCTGCTTCAGATCCGAGCCGTGGCTTCCTGGAAGCTTCTCTACATTACCAGCCCTGGAAACCACCAGGTTTCGCAGCTGGGGGAGGGAGGCCAAGGGGAATGAGAGCTCCTCTGCATCTTCTGCCAACACCAACTCCAGATGCTCTAACCGCGGCAAAGCATTGGGTTCAAACGCATTAGCTTCCAAACTCTCAACCGTGACCAGATTCAATGTCAGTTTCTTGAGATTCAGCAGCAGAGGGAATTTTGGCAGATGCACAGTGTCATTGTAGCTACCCAGGCTCAGGGACTCAAGAGAGGAAGGTAAAGAGATTGGAGGTCCTTTCCGCCATACGTCCGGATAACACCCCATAATCTCCAGCCGTTTGAGCTTCAAAAGTGCACACAGATTACTGGGAATTGACACAAGCTCGCTGCACAACCCAATTGTGAGGGTTTTTCGATTTGTCAGCCCTGTCACGGAACCTGGAATCTCCTTGAGGTTGAAACAGCACTGGATATGCAGCTGCTGCAGCTGATTCAGCTTCCCAATGCCCTCAGGAAGCTTCTCATCCGAAATGAAATCCAGGTCAAGCCGGGTCAAGGAAGTCAACCCCTCGAATGAACCCGGGAGCTGCAGCCGATTAAAGACCTCTCCCTCAAGGAAGTCAACTCCTCCCTGATCTGGCTTCGCCGTCCACCTGGCTTCACTGGGACTTTCCCTCCTGGCACCCAGTGGAGCCTCAGACGGCCAGTCTACGGTCTCCGCCAGGCACCGCGTGAGTGGCACGACACACTGAGGACTACGCTTGCGGCTCTTGGGTTTGCTCCTTCTACTGCTGACCCGTCGCTGTTTCTTCGCACCGACACTTCCCTGCCGCCGTTCTACATCCTCGTGTACGTCGACGACTTGGTCTTTGCCACAGCGGACACTGCTGGACTCGCCTACGTGAAGTCCGAGCTGCTGAAGAGACACACGTGCACAGACCTGGGTGAACTGCGCAGCTACCTTGGCTTGCAGATCACTCGGGACAGAGCACGCCGCACCATTACCTTGACTCAGTCACACATGGTGCAGCAGGTCCTTCAGCGCTTCGGCTTCACGTACTCCTCGCCTCAGGCCACTCCTCTGCCTACTCGCCACTCACTCTCAGCTCTGCCTTCGGATGAGTCCGTAGAGTCGAGTGGTCCGTATGCAGAGCTTGTTGGCTGCCTCATGTACCTGATGACCTGCACACGACCTGACCTTGCATACCCTCTGAGCATTCTTGCACGCTATGTTGCTCCTGGGAGACACAGACCGGAGCACATGGCTGCAGCGAAGAGGGTATTGCGCTACCTGTGCAGTACGTCAGGCATGGGGCTAGTGCTTGGAGGGCGGAGTCCAGTGGTCCTTACCGGCCACGCGGACGCTTCTTGGGCTGACGACCAGGCTACGCAGCGGTCGTCACAGGGTTACACCTTCAGCCTTGGTTCCGGCTCTGTCTCGTGGCGGTCTACTCGCTCGTCTTCGGTTCTCGGCTCCAGTTGTGAGGCTGAGATCTACGCCGGAGCCATGGCTGCACAGGAGCTTCGCTGGCTCACCTACCTGCTGACTGACCTTGGAGAGCCGCCTCGTTCTCCTCCAGTGCTGTACGTAGACAACAAGGCTATGCTGGCCTTGTGTCGAGAGCAGCGCTTGGAGCACAGAACGAAGCACATTGCTCTCCGCTACTTCCTTGCTCGTGAGTTGCAGCAGCGTGGTCAGTTGCGACTTGCGTACGTGGCCTCTGAGGCCAACACTGCTGATGTGTTCACCAAGGCACTTGCGCCTTGTGACCATCAGCGCTTCTGCACCCAGCTGGGTCTTGTGCCTGTCTTGCCTCACTTGCTCTCCTCTTGACTTTACTTGTACTGTGACATATATATATACCTGCTCTTGCTTGTCTAGTTTTATATATATGTCTGTACTCTTGCTTGTGAACTGGCCTTTGGCCTTGCTCTTGTGCTCGGATTGTGTGGTGACTTTGTGATCCACCCTGAGCTTTGCTTTGTCTTGCTTGACTGGTCTTGTGACCCCTTGTTCTCCCCCACTTTGCCTATGGGGGTGTGTCAAAACATGTCTATAGCTTATACTGCTGTGTAGGCTGTAGTGGGGTATCCCATAGGGGGTACAACCCAGTTAGGGTTTCACATTTGTACTGCTTTCACTCATAGTTCACACCATTCCTGCTTACTCATTTCACAGCTTCAATTCCATCTGCTTCACCATGCCCAGCGTCTTGAGAGCTCCTAGGCGACCGAAATTCGCCGGAAGCTGGCGGATTTCGAGGCAACCAACCATGAGCAGCGTCTTCAGAGATTTGAGATACGCGAATAATTCCGGGAGTTCTGTGAGAGGAACCATGTACATGGTTATTCTTTCAAGGGATGCGAGATGCCCAAAAGAGTCCGGGAGGTTGGTCAGGGCCACCATACGCAGGAACAATGTCTTCAGGGTAGGCAAGTGGCCGAACTGGACGGGCAGGCTGGAAAACCGGAGGCATTAGGAGATTGTCAGGCTCTCCAACTGGGTCAGAGATGCGAAATCATCGGGCAGCCGGGTGAGTCCAGAACACCAGCGAAGGGTCAGCTCGCGGAGACACGGCGAAATCTCTCCAAGGCCATCAGGAAGCCGGTCAGCGTTGGCGAGGTCTTGGCGGGAAACATCGAGATTTTCCCTGACGAGAAGCGTCGAGACGTAACGCTGGGAGAGACGGCGCCAGCAACGGCAGACAGAAGCGAGGAGGAGACTAAGAGCAGCGTCGGTCAAAGGAGGAATCAGTACGAGAGGTTTCTGTTCGATACCGTGTGAGTGCCCTGGTGGAGCTTTAGACCAAAAGTATTTTTGCCTCGGATACAAACAGTCGCACGCAGCATTGTCGCGTTCAGCATCGTCGCATGACGCATCGTCGCATGCTGCATCACTCGTGAAGTTAGTAGAGAGTGGCGTTTTGCCGGTATGCCACAGAATCTTGATAAGTAGGTCGCCAGAAAGTCGGTTAAAATGTGAACGAGACTCCATGCTAACACTCGAACGTCAACGACAGAACGGTTGAGAGCTCGCTGGATAACGAATAACAAGGGACTACAAGCCTTACGAGGCAAACAGAAGGAGTGACTGCCAGTTGCTACTTTGCTTGTGAAACTCACGGCGTATGTCGCATCATATTCAAGAAAGGTTGTGAGGAGGAATCACAACTCTGGAGCATCTCTGAGCAGAACAGGGATGGTGGGGTGGGGTGGGGAAGCTCGCTGGTGAGGTGAACTCACGTCATGGTGACTCATGACTAGTGACGGGTATCTGTCAGTCAGCTACCAGAAAACGTTCAAGGTAACCCTTGCCCGATTGGCTGGCAGTGAAATCACGTCACGACTCACGACAATAACTCCTGTCGTGATGTTCGAGGTTCGGCTTACAAGTGATTGAATGCGGTTCTCGTGAGCGCGTTGTTTTGTGGGGCTGAAATCTCTCGTTCGCTTTAGTCTCACGTCGCGCCCACCTCCAAGACATCGAGAGATTTTTCATGTTACATGTACCTCGACTGAGTGCCACTTTCCTTCACGTTATGGTTCACAATACCGGTAATTGCAGAAATTCTGTAGTAAATCAGCGGCAATGGATACTAAGAAATTCTCAACCCTATAAAGGATAGGAAATACCAGCATATCATTGAAGGAAAAATGTCAAACAATTAGTATTAGGCCAAACCAAGTATGTAGCAAATCAGCACAATCAGTATTGTTCATAACAAGATTAACTACAACAAGCAACAAAATTTGTATAATGGCTATCTCACACGCAAGCCAGCCATTTCATCAGAAGCACCTCCAATAACACCTGCCCCGCCACCACCACCACCTCCTCCACCTCCTCCTCCTCCTCCTCCACCACCTCCTCCTCCTCCTCCTCCTCCTCCTCCTCCTCCTCCTCCTCCTCCTCCTCCTCCTCCTCCTCCTCCTCCTCCTCCTCCCCATCTTTGATCCCCCGACCCAACCCACCCTCTCCCCCTTCTCCGTCCCACACCCCCCTCTTCCACTCCCCTTCCTCTTCCTTCCCTGCTTTCCCCACTTTTCATCACTGCGTGTAGCAGCTGACTGTTCAAAAGCAACAATTTTCCAAATCATAATCAAGGGCATACTACGTCATTCACAAGCATCCGCAATGCACAACGAAATATGGAGAGACTCCTGCAAAGCGAAAAGAAGGGGGTAACTTCAATGCAGGATAATATGGAGAATACAGCTGCACCTTGCTCGCCCGAGCAAAATCCGTTAGTCATCAAACGACCACCGGTTCTCGCGTCGGATTTCTTCCTCTTCTTCTGGAGTTAATGAGTTATCTATGTTGAATGTCTTGCGGATTTCCTCTGGCGTCTTTCCTCGAATCATGCCAGCAACAGTATCGCATGTAAGCGTCAACAGACCTTCGATGTCCAGATATTTCGCAGCCTGGTAATTTATTATGGATCGCAAGGGAGATTATGCTGTAAGTACGCCAACAAAACGTAAATATCGCATGCCAGTGATATGCCAAACCGGACGATAAGTGATGCATGAATCTTACAAGAGAGTGAATACGCACCGATATCAGGTCGAAGAGAGTGTATTGATCGACGTTCACAAACTCTTGATCCCACGCCTTCACCTCGTCGCCCGTGACCGCAGGCTTCTCCGCCGTGCCAGGCTTCTTCGCATCCACGTGATTTTTCCAGTAGAGAATCACCTTTACCAGGATACACCCAGAGACGTTTGGCAAAGAAAGGGGCTCGCTGGCAGAAAAGACGTCGGCATTCGTAATCATATTCTTCACTGTGATGCTCTAGAACGCTACCACTTGGTCTACTTCGAGAATTATATCGTATGAGCTCTTCAGCTTCAACTTAGTGTCCGCCATCATGATGCTTGCGAGTCTAATCCCCAGGAAGAATCGCCCATAAATATACTCCTTCGCCAAGCACTTCCATACTCTCATCACCAGGGTGCAAGCACCAGACAGCAAACTAGAGATCGTGCGAAGTTGCGTGACCGACTAAGGTCAACAGAAGCCAGCTTGTTTGCAATGCTTTCGGCCCAATCGGACGGGCGCAAGCAGTGTGACAGACGAAGACTGCGGCACTGCGGCACGGGGCGTTGGTTTGGTTGTTGATGATACATGTACTTGGTTTCCTCAACCCCCCTAGCTGGCGGAAAACCGATTCCCCGCTCGCCTTGCCCCGCAAGTGAGCACCACATCGCCGACCCCCCCTCTCGAGTCGAGAGACTCGACCCCTCCGCATGAAAGGCACGGCGGTCACAGCTGGGGAGAGCCCTGACACACCAGCGCGCAGCACTCTCGGACCACCCGCAAGCCACTCGGACGGATCCCCACATACCCCTCGGACCACCCGCGAGCCCCTCGGACCACCCGCGAGCCCCGCGGACTGACCCGGCTTTGCGAAGTTTATCGCGAAACCTTTTACGCCAGTCTCAGAAACTAAACACAACGGAGTGAGTTGGATTGATTGGGTTGGGGTACAAATGCCTAACTCTTACTGTTTGTACCCCATATAGCATGATCCACTAGAGGCTATAACATTTGACACACCCCCATAGCCTAAGTGGGGAATGCCAAGCAACAAGAAACGCAACCTAAGGTCACAAGACCAGTCACAAGCAAGAGAGAAAACAAAGCTCAGGGTGGATCACAACGTCACCACACAGTCTGAGCACAAACAAAGGGCCACAAGGCCAGTTCAAGAGTATACAAGCTGATATATATGGTACACACAAACAAGAGGCAAGAACTCACTACTGCAGTCTACTAGACCCAGTCTCAACGAGGCCTAACTGCAGACAAAACCGGCGGTGGTCACAAAGCTGAAGGGCCTTGGTGAAGATGTCTGCAGTCTTGGCCTCGGAGGCCACGAAGTCCAGACGAGCCTGTCCGCGCCTCTGCAACTCTTGAAGGAGGAAGTACCTGACGTCGATGTGCTTCACTCTGCTCTCCAGTCGAGGCTCATGACACAGGAGAATCATCGCCTTGTTGTCAGCAAACAAGGTCGGTGCAGAGCTCGGCCGCTCACCAAGGTCAGTGAGCAAGAAGGTCAACCAGCGTAGCTCCAGTGCAACAAGGGCTCCAGCGTAGATCTCGGCCTCTGCGGTAGAAGTCGCAACAGAAGAGGACCGAGTGGACCTCCACGAAACAGCTCCAGAGCCCAGGCTGAAACAATAACCCTGCGTAGACCTCTGAGTCTCAACGTCGTCGGCGTAGGAGGAGTCGCAGTGACCGGTGAGTACAACTGGCTGTGTCCCTCCGAGTACAAGCCCCATGTCTGATGTCGCGCCGAGATACTTTGCCACCCTCTTAGCCGCCGTCCACTGAACAGGACGGTGTCTCCCAGTCGCAACAAAGCGAGAAAGGATGATAAGAGGGAAGGCGAGGTCCGGCCGAGTACACGTCATCAGGTACATGAGGCAGCCCACCGGCTCTGTGTAGGGACCACTGGGCTCGAACGGCTCGTCAGGAAAAGGCCCAGTGAGTCTGTGGTCTACAGCAAGAGGGGTGGGTGTAGGAGAAGAGAGCTGAAGCCCGAACCACTGAAGGACCTGCTGCACCATGTGTGACTGAGTCGGAGTGATGGTGCGAGCGGCTCTGTCCCTGGAAATCTGCAGGCCAAGGTAGCGGCGCAGTTCCCCAAGGTCAGTGCAGATGTGTCTCTTCTGCAGTTCGGACTTCACCTCCACCAGTGCAACTGTGTCGGCTGTGGTAAAAACCAGGTTGTCAACGTAGACGAGAACGAAGAAAGGTGTGCGCCCACGACGAACAAACAGCGACGGGTCGGCGGAAGACGGCTCAAACCCGAGGTCGGACAGAGTATAGCGGAGAGTGTCGTGCCACTCACGGGGTGCCTGGCGCAGACCGTAGACCGGTCGTCTGAGGTTCCACTGGGTCCCAGGCGGAAAGTGCTAGTGAAGCTGGGACGACGACGCAACCAGATCTCCTCGTGTAGACTGCCCTGAAGGAAAGCAGTGGAGAAGTCAAGAGAGTGTAACTCGTAGTCTCTTTGCGCTGCTACGTGCAGTAACACCCGAAGAGTGGTCATCTTCGGGGTGGGCGCGAAGGTCTGAAAGAAGTCAACCCCCTCACGCTGACTGAACCCTCTAGCCATGTAGCGTGCCTTGAAGACTGGGGGAGATCCCGGCGGCCGCTTCACCTTGAAGATCCACATGCCGTCAACTATGTTCGCCCCTGGGGGGGGAACCTCGTCAACGTAAGTGCCTGTGGACCTGTAGGAGGCCATCTCTGCGTCCATGGCAGCTCTCCACTGAGAGGCCCAAGGCCCTAACACTGCCTCAGCGTAAGTGCGAGGAGTAGGTATGTCAAGAGCGTCGGGGTCTCCCTCAGGAGCGAGGAGCATGGCACAGAGATGAGGCGAAGCAGCTGCCAGGAACTCTAGCTCAAACTGTCTATCCTCTAGGACGTCACAGCCAAAGGCAGACTCACCCCCGGCGGACAGAGGACGGACAGGAGGAGCGGCCACAACACGAGTGGCGTAGTCAAGGCGACGTGTGGCAGTAAAGTCAGTGACAGCGGCAGTGAGGACCGTGACGGAGGAAGGAGAGGCACGAGGGTCTGTAACAAGAGAGGCAAGAACACGAGAGAGAGTACGGCGGTACATGCAGTAGTAGTCAGTGATCGGAGTGGTCAGGGAGGCAGTGAGAGACGACTCAGGAGGACGAGGAAGAACAGACGGAGGAGGATGAGGAGGACTAGGACGAAACAACACGGTACGGAGGTCAGTGACAAGTGACGAAGGACGAGCAGAGGGGGACAAGAGGTCCAAGTGTGGGCGAGAGGAGAGGGAGACGTAGGAGACTGAGAACGAGGGAACACAGGCAGAGCTGAGTCCGGAGGAGGAAAATTAGGACCGAAAACAGGAGGAGAGGAGGGGAGACCAAGGGCCCGAAGGCTAGAAACAGGGGCCGGAGGCTGCTCTGGCTGCTGCGGCTGCTGCTACTGCTGCTGCTCCCGCTGCAACTCCAACCTCTCACGCTCCACCCGCTGCTGAACCTCCGACCTCTCGCGCTCCAAACGCTGCTGCGCCTCACGCTCTAGACGAAGAAGGGCCTGGTAACGAGCCGGTTAGGGGTGAGGAGGAGTGGTGTCGGGAGACGCAGCTGAAGAACCGGCTCCGTCCTCGACAGTACCCGGATGAGCACCCCCAGAGCGAGTACCTCCCACGGCAGCACGACCAGTACCTGTAGGAGGTGTACCCTCACCCCCATTCGTGGTGCCTCCAGTGGCACCAGCACCAGCCCCAGACTCTCCAGCTCCAGAAACACCACCAGCTCCAGCACCACCACCAGCTCCAGTACCCTCGGAACGGGCAGCTGCGGCAGGTGCACGCTCAGCGCCAACGCCAACACCCCCAGAACTGGCTGCTCCTGTAGGTGCACAAACAGCTCCAACGCCAACACCCCCAGAGCGAGCACCGCCAGAGCCCTCACCTCGAGCACCAGCACCCTCAGAGGCCGCAGTTGCTGGTAAAGGAAGCGCCGACGGCTGTTGCGAAGGCGGTGAGGACGACTGTGGGGAAGGAGGAGAGACCTAGGGGGATACCAAGGGGGGGGGAGTAGCGTGGGACACACCAGACGGAGCGGGAACAGGGGGGGTACCGGAGGAGTAGGGGCGGGAGGAGGAGGAGCTGCAGCCAGGAAGAGGGGAGGGGGGGGAACCGGGAGACCTTGACAGGGGTACCGGACGTAGTAGGGGACGGACTCGTCGAAGCGTACGTCACGAGAGTCAAAGAACCGGTGGGAGGGAGGGTGGTAAAAGGTGAAGTCAGAGGAGCCCTCTGGGAAACCAAGGAAGACACAGGGGACAGCGCGAGGCGAGATCTTGTCCGCAGAGGTGTTGCGGACAAGAGCCAAGCAGCCCCAGACACTAAACCTCGACGCAACACCAGGGGACCCTGTCCAAAGACTGGTCGGTGAAGCCCCTGGCCGAGAGACGCGAGGCCAGAGGTTCAGCTTATGAGCGGCGTACTGAGCCGCGTAGGGCCACAAAAAATGGGGCGCGCTGGCGTAGATCATGGAGGTGCGGGCGATCTCCATGACCAGGCCTAAGCGGCGCTCAGCAACCCCATTGTGCTGTGGAGAGTCTAGAAGAGTCTAGGACTGGGTGATGCCCTGCTCAGTACAGAATCTGGCGAGAATGCCGGAGCGAAACTCACCCCCACGGTCAAAGTGAAGACAACTGACACGACGACCGCGAGTGCCCTCGGTGGCGAGGAGCCACTGGATCAGCGTAGAAGTCACGTTGGACTTCTTCGCCAAAGGGAACACGGTGGTGTACCGAGAGTAGTCGTCAACGACCACCAGAAAGAAACTCTCACGCGCAGGGCCAAGGCAGGGAGCGGGGCCCCAGACGTCTAAGTGGAGAGTCTCGAAGGGCTCGGTGGCCGGACGAAGGGAGGAGGAGTGAGGGGTGGCACGCAGCCGACCCTGGACACAAGGACCGCACGGAGGAGCTGGGGACGGCGGGAGTGGCGGGAGGACTCGGGGGAGGCCTAAGACAAGACGCTGACTGGACATAGCACGGAGACGAGGGACGGAAGGGTGACCAAGGCGGTGGTGCTAGAGGAGGGAGGGGTAGGCAAGCGACCGACACGAGCACGACGCAGCAACTACACCTGACACAGCAACCTGACTGGACCCGGCTACCTGGTGGGACGGGGGAACCTGACGGGGGTTGGTGCGGAGGGTGTACAGACCGGAGCTCGGCTCCTGGCAAAAAGTGGCCAAGGGGGCGTACGTGTCACCGTCCACACAGACCGCGGTGTCAACAAAAGGCTCAACCCAGACCCCGACGTGCTGTCTCGCCAGGGTGCCCACACCAACAAGGTTCATAGAGAACGTAGGAACGTGGAGGCCAGTCAGGGAACCGGAAGGAGCAGCTGGGCACGGGAGTGTAGTGGCGTGAGTCGCAATGACCGGTCCCGAAGAGGGATCGGCCAGTGCTACAGGGACAGGCGCCGATAGCGGAGAGAGAGTCGTGCAGTCGCAGAAGAAGCAATGTGACGCTCCGGAGTCCAGTGTGAAGGAGAGAGAGGCGTCCGTTGAGGGAGTACCTGTACTAGTAGCTTAACAAGATCCTACACTAGCACCTACTCTAGCAACGGGCAAAGATCCTAAGCTAGGTACAGGCAAGTACACAGATCCAGGAGCACTATAGTCAACATCAGCATACATGGCATATGACCTAGCATCATCCATAGTCATATCAAAAACAACAATACCACGAGCAAGAAGTGTCCCCCAGCGTGGCGACGGGGGAGCGGAGGGGCCGTGGTGCAAATGGTAGAGGTCGTCGAGACGACTAAAGCAGCGTGCAGCAGAGTGGTCGGGGCAGCCACAATACGAGTCCCGAAGACCTCCACTGGTGCTGAGGGAGAATGGGACCCGCAGACCTCCACTGTTGCTGAGGGCCCCACTGCTGTGGAGGGCCCCACTACTGTGGAGGGCCCCACTGCTGCAGAGGGCCCCACTGCTGAGGCTGCTGCTGTGGCGGGCGCTGCTGATGGCCCTGTCGCTGCTGGTGCTGGTGCTGCTGTCTAGGCGGTGGCAGCTGCTGAGGAGTCGGCTGCTGCTGCTGTTGGGACCCCTCACCACCAGTGAAAACTCCACCGTCGAAAGGAGGGCCGTCAGGTCCCGAGCCACCCCCACCACCACTCCCACCACCTGCTCCACCGCTACCCGCACCACCTCCAGTACCCCCGCCGCCCTTCCCGCCCCTCTTACCAGCCTTGCCACGTTTCTGCCCGCCAGAGACAGAAACAGCCGCCGTCTCCTCAGAGGCAGAAGACGTGGGGATGACAAGTGAGGCAGAGAAGGTGTGAAGCTGTGGTATCGCACACCCCTCAAAAAGACGAGGAGGAGGCGTGGAAGAGGCAGAGGCAACAGTGAGGAGGTTACTTTCGATCTTCGAGAGAGCAGTCTCAAGAAGATCGATGGTAAGCTCAGTGGGGTGCTTCAGAAGAAGCGCGTCGCGGGCTGCGGCTAGGCGGTCAGGGAGGCAAGTGACTAGCCAGTGAATAGTGAGCCACATAGGGGGTGGGGCAAGGGCAAGCTGGTCATCAGTGCAAGCAGCGAGCGAGCATCAAGGGAGCGCAGGTGAGTAGCGAGGTCAGAGACAGTCTAAAAGAAGGCGAGGTCAGGGTAGATAAAGGGTACGAGGAGGCGACTGAGCGAAGCAGAGGAGGGAGTGGAGTAGCGAGTAACAATAGCCTTATACAAATCTGCAGCAGACTCGACCTGAGCGAAGTGGACTGCCTCTGTCGGCGGGAGAAGGTCGGTCAGGGCGAGGTAGGCAGCGACGTCACGAGACTCCCACACGTCGTGAGCGAGGAGCTGGCGCTGGTAGTCGGCCTCCTGCTCAGAAGTAGGCGGTGGGGTAGTGGGCAGCGGCTGAGGCTGCGGAGGGGCGGTCTGAGTGCCGGACGCGTGTGCGAACAGGTGGACGCCATCCTGCCGCTGGCTCTTAAGGTGGCGCTACGCCTGCGTAAGCCACGTATTAAAGTCAATCGGTCTCCCTTCAGGGTCAAATCGAAGTACTCGGGAGGTCGTCATAGGGGGTGAAACTGAGAGAGCGCGGCTGCCAGCTGCGGGAGGGGGAGACAGTCAGTGGCGTGTGGGCAAGCGCGCAGGCGTGCAGGTGGGCAGGCGGCGCTGAATGCGGACAGGCGGGCGGCGGTGCGGCGCGGTGCGCTGGCATGGCGCGCTGGCGTGCGCGCCGGCGTGGCGCGCTGGCGGGCGCGCTGGCGTGCGCGCTGGCGGGGCGCGCTGGCGTGCGCGCTGGCGTGGGCGCTGGCGTGCGCGCTGGCGTGCGCGTTGGCGGGCCTGCTGGCTAGGGCGTTGGCGGGCCTGCTGGCTAGGGTGCTGGCGGGCCTGCTGGCTAAGGCGCTGGCGGGCCTGCTGGCTAGGGCGCTGGCGGGCCTGCTGGCTAAGGCGCTGGTGGGCCTGCTGGCTAAGGCGCTGGCGGGCCTGCTGGCTAGGGCGCTGGCGGGCGTGCTGGCTAGCGTGCTTATAGCAGACGAAGGAGGGGGGGGGTTTCACGCCAAGGCTAGTGACGGCCGAAGTCTAGGAACGGCGGAGACTAAGTGTGGCCTAGGAACGGCGAACCTACTGCTGATACCATCTCAGAAACTAAACACAGCGGAATGAGTTGAATTGATTGGGTTGGGGTACAAATGCCTAACCTTAACTGTTTGTACCCCATATAGCATGACCCACTAGAGGCTACAACATTTGACAGCCAGTGTAACGCTTCTAAAATGTCCATCTTGTTTGTTTCTTTTCCTCCTCTGCTGAAACTCTCTATTTCTAGATTGTCATATGCCCTTCCACGTCCCCCCAACCCTTCAATTCCAATCACAAGGTCGGTGTATTTATTTTATTTTCTGTTTGTTGGACGGACTCTGATATTTCAGCATGGAAATTGTGTTCGATGTTTGAATGCACCACACATACACCTACAAAACATAATGTCACACTATCCATATCATGCTACTACGGAGCCACAATCTGGTGCTGCAAGGGCAACAGCGAGCCAGCTGGCAGAGGTCCTGGCCGAGTGACATAGTCCGTTGGATCCATCAGCTTGACGCCATCTGAGCCGTTCAACACCCACTTGGGTTTCTCCTGGAGGAAGAGGGTTCCGGGCAGGAGGAAGGAGAGGAGATACAACAGACAGGTGGAGGGAGCATGGGAGGGGGAGTGTAGGTGGATAGTGCCAGTCGCCAATTTCCCAGTCACACTGTAGAGAGAATGTACACATGCAGGGACCCCCCCCCATCCAGCTTCTACCTCTCCCACGTTACCCCTGATCCCTACCCCTATTGCCTCTACACACACACATATGCTCAACCACACAACTACACTCACCTTCCACGTCTTGCCAGCGAGGTTGTAGAGAATGTAAGCCGAAACCCCGTCTAGCTTCAACCATTCGCCTGTGATTGTATCAAATGCAATCAGTCACACACACACTCACCTTCCACGTCTTTCCAATCAAGTTGTAAAGACTGTAAGCTGGCATCCCATCTAGCTTCAGCCTCTCCCCCGTGACTGTATTGAACGCCACTGTTCCCGATGCTCCCTCGAACCGCCCGCAACCGGCCGGCTGGTTTCGGAAGCACTCAAGAACGGCTTGCGCGGTTACCACCCGGTTTTGGACGGCTATGATGTTCCGAAATGCCTCGAAGAAGGCCCAGATGGAGTCGATCAGATGCGCCACGTATAAGCGCGTCTCGTTATACTGTATGGCGTGCCGGGGGGAATTGTAAGTAATAGTCATTCGATGGACTCAGTCTGTATTGCTCAATGAGAGATGCCTTTAGGCTTGAGGAGTGAATGAGTGAGTGCGTGGTTGAGTGAAGAGGGAGAGGGCGTTGAGACAATGGGTGAGTGGGGAAAATGAAACGATTGGTGCGCAGGACAGTGAGGGTCAGTGAACGGACGCAGGTTGGGGCTAGGAGGAGCTGAGGATGATGCATTTTCTCTAGACACATCTCCCCACCTTGGGGTGGGGTGCTTGGCTTTGTGCATTGACTGCATTGACCAGCATTGACCAGCCCCACATGACCATAGGCCGCCTGCCTTTTGTTGACTAGACAGTAATCTTGTGACAGAACAGCTGTTTTTTGTCGCCTCCTTACAATACCACACACGAAACATCTTCTCACCTTTGGCGTGGTCGGTGCATTGATGAGCCCAACGTAATCGTCTGCGGCTTGCTGCTTACAGGTTAGGTTGAGTTGACTCAAAACACACCAGAGAGCAGGAAGCAGGCAGCAGGTCACATGCTCTCACCTTTGGCGTGGTCGGCGCATTGATGAGCCCAACGTAATCGTCTGCGGCTTGCTGCTTCCAGTGGTTTGTGAAGGGGCGCAGGTTGGGGGCTGAGCCAACATCCTTTGAGTCTTCGTGCTTTCAAGGGGACCCAGAAGCAACTGTGTTACAATGCCACACACAAAGCATCTTCTCACCCTTGGCGTGGTCGGCGCATTGATGAGCCCGGCGTAATCGTCTGCGGCTTGCTGCTTCCAGTGGCTTGTGAAGGGGCGCAGGTTGGGAACCGAGTCAACTTCAAGCGTGCTCCTACCTTTGGCGTGGTCGGCGCATTGATGAGCCCAACGTAATCGTCCGCAGCTTGCTTCTTCCAGTGGTTCGTGAATGGACGCAAGTTGGGACTCTCAAAGGGCACTGGGAAGGAGGGAGAGGAGGGAAAGGAGAGAAATGGAAGAATGAGGGCCACTTGTGCGCCGCGGCAATATGTGAAGAGAACAAAGGCCGGGGCTTTTGAAGAGCCATTGAAAGCCCCGACCCTCCTCCATTGATTGCTATAAACTCTCACTGTCAAGCACATCCTGAACTTACTGACATGGTCTGCCTAACATCGTCTCAAGTACCTGACATGGTCTGCCTAACATCGTCACAAGTACCTGACATGGTCTGCCTAACATCGTCACAAGTACCTGACATGGTCTGCCTAACATCGTCACAAGTACCTGACATGGTCTGCCTAACATCGTCACAAGTACCTGACATGGTCTGCCTAACATCGTCACAAGTACCTGACATGGTCTGCCTAACATCGTCACAAGTACCTGACATGGTCTGCCTAACATCGTCACAAGTACCTGACATGGTCTGCCTGAACTTAATGTTGGCTTTTGAGACGTCTCAAAAGACATCCTCAACTTACTGACATGGTCTGCCTGACATTGTGACAAGTACCTGACTCGGTCTGCCTGAACTTACTGTTGGGACCGACAGCCATCTCCCCTTGCAGTGACCTGGCCATACCTCCGAGCCTCTCCCCGGCTGTACAAGGAAGAGACGGAGAAACAGGGAGAGAGGGAGGGGAGGAAGAAAGGTGTGAGATTGCTGCTTGCCGAGCCTGGACCATTTGTCAAACATTATATGTTTGTGTGGTTCTAGGCTGTAGTGGGTCACACCATAAGGGGTACACCAGATTAGGGTTTGACATATTTGTACTGTTGTTCCTGCTAGTCACTCCTCATTCTCGTTTCTCATTCTGACATGGTATTACGAGCCTAGGTTCCACCTAGGACCGAAACGATAGGGCCCACCGTTTCCGCTAGCCGCGCCCTCGTGCGCCGCCGTTCTTTTTCCTGCGCCTCGAGCGCCTCCTTCTCAAGGCCCCGTATGGCCCCGCGCTAGCCTCTCACGGCCCCCGATCGGTCCCGCGCTAACCTCCTAAGGCCCCCGTCGGCCCCACGCTAGCCCCGCGCTAGCCTCCTAAGGCCCCCGATCGGCCCCGCGCTAGCCTCCTAAGCCCCCGTCGGCCCCACGCTAGCCCCGCGCTAGCCTCCTAAGGCCCCCGATCGGCCCCGCGCTAGCCTCCTAAGGCCCCCGTCGGCCCCGCGCTAGCCTCCTAAGCCCCCGTCGGCCCCACGCTAGCCCCGCGCTAGCCTCCTAAGGCCCCCGATCGGCCCCGCGCTAGCCTCCTAAGGCCCCCGTCGGCCCCGCGCTAGCCTCCCACGGCCCCTGCAGGCCCCGCGCTAGCCTCTCACGGCCCCTTAAGGCCCCACGCTAGCCTCCCACGTCCCCTGCAGGCCCCGCGCTAGCCTCTCACGGCCCCCCCCTTTGGCCCCGCGCTAGCCCCGACCGGCCCTCCCGCGCTCGCCCCTCTACGACCGAGCCGCACGGCGCGACCCGAACCGAACCGCGCGACCCAGCCGAGCCGCGCCGCCCCAGCCGAGCCGCGCCGCCCTAGCCGAGTCGCGCCGCCCTAGCCGAGTCGCGCCGCCCTAGCCGAGCCGCGCCGCCCTAGCCGAGCCGCGCCCTACTTACCTGTGCACAGCACTGCTACTGCTACTGCTACTGCTACTGCTACTGCTACTATCACCACTGCTTCTACTGCTACTTCAGCTATGGCTAGCCCTACAGTTCTCTCGTTCGATTCTGAGGGCCGCCCGATTAAGTTTGATACCTGGCTCGATGATCTGCACCTGTTCCTCCAGCTCACTGCCAGAGAGGATATCTCGCTGTACGATCACGCACTAGGCACAGTCCCTGCTCCTGCTACTACTGCTACCGCTACTGCTCGCTCGCAGTGGCAGACTCGCGATGCCCACGCCCGCTTTGCCATTCGCAACTCCCTGCCAGTCGATGAGCGTGAGCACTTCGGCCAGCATCAGACTGCGCAGGCCCTGTACACTGCTGTAGTTGCGCGCTACTCCTCCCCGGCCTCAGCTGCACTAGGCCGTCTCTCCCTTCCCTACCTGTTCCCCGACCTGTCCGCTTTCCAGACAGTCGCTGACCTCATCACTCACCTCCGTACTAGTGATGCCCGCTTCCGTGCAGCCATGCCCGCTGAGTTTCTTGCCTCCAACCCTCCCTCGCTCTGGCTCACTCTCTACCACCTAGTCACCCGCCTCCCTGACACTCTGCGTACAGTCAGGGACCACTTCTTAGCTCTCTGCCCCACTGAGCTCACCATTGCCGCCCTAGAGAAGGAACTACTTGCAGCTGAGAAGAGTATTGTAGCTGTAGGTGCCTCTCGTGGCGACCCCCGCACCCCTTTCTTCGAGGGGTGTTCCCCCTCCCCCCTCCTCCCCTCTGTCGCCTCTGCTGCTGCTGTCGACCTTCTTGGTGCTGAGCAGGTCGGCTCTGCGTCCGCTCCCAGCGGGCGCCGCAGCGGCAAGGGCAGGGGAGGCAAGGGCGGTGGGGGTGACGGCGGGGGAGGTGGTGGTGGGGGTGGTGGCAGCGGCGGGGGCGGTGGCGGGGCTGGAGGGGCTAGTGGCAGCGGTGGGGGTGGTGGAGGCAGCGGCGGCGGCGGTGGCCGCGGTGGGGGCGGTGGTGGTGGCGGCAGTGGACGTGGCGGCGGCAGGGGCGGTGGTGGTCGTGGTGGAGGCGGCGGTGGTGGTCGTGGAGGCTCTGGCACTGGCCAGAGTGCGCAGCACCCTCAGTCCTCCCAGGAGCTTCGTGAGTGGTACTTACAGCACGGGGGTAGGGGGGGTAGCCTTAGCTGCACGTACGTCATCCGCACTGGTCGCCGCAAGGGACAGACGTGCGGGAGGGCGCACACTTCGCAGCGCTGCTTCTCTCGCCTAGATGACGCTTGGCGTGCTCAGTTTCCTGACGCTCCTGAGCTCCCTCGGTGGGCTGATCTCCTCAAGAAGGATATCGATATCTATGCTCTTGATTTTGATGTTATTCTCAAAGCAATGTATGCATTGACTATTAGTGGAGAGGAGGACCAGTACCTGAGTGTTCCGCCTGACCCAGGCATCCGCACGAGTGAGGCTGCCGCCTTAGGTGCTTGCGTGTCTGCTACCCCAGGTACTGGTGAGGCTACTGCTCTAGGTGCGTGTGTGTCCGCCACCCCAGGTACTACTGAGTCCACTGAGGCACTGCACACCTTCACTCTAGACTCAGGCGCTTCGCGCTGTTTCTTTCGTGACCGCACTGCTCTTGAGCCCCTTGCTCGACCAGTCGCTGTCTCGCTCGCTGACCCCTCTGGGGGTCCGGTCATTGCGACCTCCTCCACCCTCCTTCCTTGTCCTGCTGTCCCGTCGGGCACACTGTCAGGTCTCCACCTCCCCTCGTTCTCTACGAACTTGGTGGCGGGTTGTGCGCTTCAGGATGGGGGTGTTCACCAGTTCACCCCTGCCTACGAACGTGTGACACACTGCACGTGTGCTCGGACGGGCCGTCACCTGGCTACCTTCACTCGGCAGCCGGGGTCGGACCTGTACACACTGACCACTGAGTCCCCTCAGGTAGCGGCGTCTGCGTCTGCGTCAGGTCAGCTCTCTGCCCCCTGCTCGTGTCGCTCTCTAGCGCACAAGACTGTCCTCTGGCACCACCGACTTGGTCACCCGTCAGTGCAGTGCCTTCGGGGCATGCACGCCCGGTACCTAGTCTCTGGTCTTCCTCGGGTACTCCCTCCCCTCCCACCCTCCCTTGCTCCTCCTTGTCTTCCCTGTGTCGAGGGGCGGCAGCGCGCTGCCCCTCACTCCTCCTCGTTCCCCCCGACGACTGCTCCTTTGCAGACGCTCCACATGGACGTGTGGGGCCCAGCCCGCGTCCGTGGTCAGGGCCAGGAGAGGTACTTCTTGATCGTCGTTGACGACTACTCGCGCTACACCACGGTCTTCCCCTTGCGCACCAAGGGTGAAGTCCCTGATGTTCTGATCCCCTGGATCAGCAGAGCACGTCTTCAGCTGCGAGAGCGTTTTCGCTCGGAATTTCCTGTTCTGCGCTTGCACTCTGACAGAGGTGGCGAGTTCTCCTCCGACCTCTTGGCAGCCTACTGTGCCGAGCATGGCATTCGCCAGTCGTTCACGCTCCCGGCGTCTCCACAGCAGAATGGGGTTGCTGAGCGCCGCATTGGCTTGGTCATGGAGGTCGCTCGTACCTCCTTAGTCCACGCGGCTGCCTCCCACTTTCTGTGGCCGTTTGCGGTCCGGTACGCTGCGCATCAGCTCAACCTCTGGCCCCGTGTCTTCGCTCCGGAGACCTCGCCCACACTGCTGTGGACGGGGGAGGTTGGCGATGCGTCACGCTTCCGTGTCTGGGGATCCCGAGCTTTTGTTCGCGACACGTCTGCGGACAAGCTCTCCTCCCGCACTGCTCCCTGTGTCTTTCTTGGCTTTGTCCCGGATGCGTCTGGCTGGCAGTTTTACCACCCCGCCTCACACCGAGTCTTCCCCTCTCAGGACGTCACTTTTGACGAGTCCGTGCCCTTCTACCGCCTCTTCCCCTACCGCACTGCCCCGCTCCCTCCCCCGCCTCTCTTCCTCGCGCCAGGTGCTGCAGTGGTAGACCCCTTTCCCCCTCAGGGTGCCGCTCCCTCAGGTGTCTCTCAGGTAGACCCGGTTGAGCCTGCCGAGGTAGCTGTCGACTCGCGTCCTGCTAGAGGTGCTGAGCCTGAGCGTGCGGAGCCTGAGCGTGCGGAGCCTGAGCGGGTGGAGCCTGGGGGTGCTGAGTCTGGGGGTGCTGAGTCTGGGGGTGCTGAGACTGGGGGTACTGAGCCTGGGGGTGCTGGGTCTGGGGGTACTGAGCCTGGCGTTGCTGAGTCTGGGGGTGCTGCGCCTGGAGTGGCTGAGCCTGGGGGTGCTGAGCCTGGTGGTGTTGCAGTTGACTGTGAGGCGCCTGGAGGACCTCCCTCTTCGCAGCAGCTGCGTGAGTGGTACTCACGGTACTGCAGCCTCCGACGGGGTGAGTCTCGGGCTCGTGGTACTGCTGGAGTTGGTACTCGTGCTTCCCCACCACGGCGGGAGCCGCCCTCTTCCCCTCAGCTTCGAGAGTGGTACGCTCGGCACATCAGTCTCCGTAGTGGAGCTGCTGGTGCTGGGGTCCCCGGAGTTGACGCTGCTGCGAGTACTACGGACCCTGGTGCTGGAGGTGCTGCTGCTGCTGGCGGTGCTACTGGAGGTGCTGCTAGTACTGAGGACCCGGGCGTTGGAGCTGCTGTGGGTGCTACGGACCCGGGCGTTGGAGCTGCTGTGGGTGCTACGGACCCTGGTGCTGGAGGTACTGCTGCTGCTGGCGGTGCTGCTGGAGGTGCTGCTGGAGGTGCTGCGGACCCTGGTGTTGGAGGTGCTGCTGCTTCTGGAGGTGCTGCTGCTGCCGCTGGTGTCTCTGCTGGTTCGAGAGCTGCTGCACGGCCACGACCGTACTTCGTTCCGCTCCTTCAGCAGGTTCTTGGTCAGCCTCCTCCTCCTTGTTCTCCTCTCGCCTTAGAGTGTCCGCCGTCTGTCCAGTCACAGCCACAGTTACCGCCTGCCTCCCCACTCCCTGTGCCTGCTCCATACACTGGTCCGACTGACGGTCTTGCTGAGAGACGTGAGCCTGCGTCACGTCCTCTGTCACATGCGTCTCGTCGAGCGTCGCCTGTTCGAGCTGCTACCACTGGTAGTCGTGTCCTGCGTGAGCGTCCTCCTACTGTCCCAGGCACGCACCAGATGGCGCTTCGTCAGTCGACTGCTCCGCAGCGTGTTGCTCTCCCGTCGCCTCCTGCGTCCTCTCTTCCTGCTCTTGCTGACCCGGAGTCAGACTCCCTTCGCGCTGCCAGTCCTACTGTCACACGTCTCCTGGCTACGGTTGTCACTGACCCTTCCTTTGAGTCCGCTGCTGCGTCTGCCCTAGTCACTGAGCTTGTCGACTTTGCAGCTGCGTGTCGTCTAGACTACGCAGCAAGTCTTGTTGCTGAGTCTGAGTCTGCCTGTCCTCCGTCCGTCGGGGGTGAGTGTGCTCTTGGCACGGACGTCCTTGAGGACAGGCAGGAGGAGTTTAGTTGCCTTGCCGCTGCTTTGCCCCATCTCGTGTCCATGCTTGTTGCCCCTGAGGGAGACCCGGATGCACCAGACATCCCGACCCCACGCTCTTACGCAGAGGCGATGGCCGGTCCCTACTCCTCTCAATGGCAGTCAGCCATGGACACAGAGATGGCTTCCTGGAAGTCCACAGGCACCTACGTCGACGATGTTCCCCCACCTGGGGCGAACATCGTCAGTGGCATGTGGATTTTCAGGGTGAAGCGGCCGCCGGGCTCTCCGCCTGTCTTCAAGGCGCGTTACGTTGCACGAGGCTTCAGTCAGCGAGAGGGAGTTGACTTCTTCCAGACCTTCTCCCCGACCCCGAAGATGACCACTCTTCGGGTTCTACTACACGTCGCCGCTCAGCGTGACTACGAGCTCCACTCTCTTGACTTCAGCACAGCTTTCTTGCAGGGCAGCCTGCACGAGGAGATCTGGCTGCGCCGCCCACCTGGCTTCACTGGGTCGTTCCCTCCTGGCACCCAGTGGAGCCTCCGGCGGCCAGCCTACGGTCTCCGCCAGGCGCCGCGTGAGTGGCACGACACACTGAGGACTACACTTGCGGCTCTTGGGTTTGCTCCTTCTACTGCTAACCCGTCGCTGTTTCTGCGCACCGACACCTCGCTGCCGCCGTTCTACATCCTCGTGTACGTCGACGACTTGGTCTTTGCCACTGCGGACACTGCCGCACTCGCCCACGTGAAGTCCGAGTTGCAGAAGAGACACACGTGCACAGACCTGGGTGAACTGACAAGCTATCTTGGCTTGCGGATCACCCGGGACAGAGCACGCCGCACCATTACCCTGACTCAGTCACACATGGTGCAGCAGGTCTTTCAGCGCTTCGGCTTCACGTACTCCTCGCCTCAGTCCACTCCTCTGCCTACGGGTCACTCGCTCTCAGCTCTGCCTTCGGATGAGTCCGTAGAGTCGAGTGGTCCGTATCCAGAGCTTGTGGGCTGCCTCATGTACCTGATGACCTGCACTCGACCTGACCTAGCATACCCTCTCAGCATCTTAGCACGCTATGTTGCTCCCGGCCGTCACCGGAAGGAGCACATGGATGCAGCTAAGAGGGTGTTGCGCTACTTGTGCAGTACGTCGGGCATGGGGCTAGTGCTTGGAGGGCGAGACCGGCCTGTTCTCACTGGGCACTCAGACGCTTCTTGGGCAGACGACCAGGCTACTCAGCCGTCGTCTCACGGTTACACCTTCAGTCTTGGCTCTGGCTCTGTCTCTTGGCGTTCTACTCGTTCTTCTTCTGTTCTCAGCTCCAGCTGTGAGGCTGAGATCTACGCCACGGCCATGGCTGCCCAGGAGCTTCGCTGGCTCACCTACCTGCTGACTGACCTTGGAGAGCAGCCTCGTTCTCCTCCAGTGCTGTACGTCGACAACAAGGCAACCATTGCCTTGTGCCAGGAGCACAGGTTGGAGCACAGGACGAAGCACATTGCTCTGCGTTACTTTCTAGCTCGAGAGCTACAGCAGCGTGGTCAGCTTCTTCTGCGTTACGTGGCCACTGAGGCCAACACTGCTGATGTGTTCACCAAGGCGCTTCCGCCTGTTGACCATCAGCGTTTTTGCACTCTTCTAGGCCTTGTGCCGACTGCTTCTCACTTACTTACTTCTTGACTTTACCTGTACTGTGATCATTATATATATACCTGCATGTTTGCCTTGTTAGGTTGTGATCATTGTACCTCTTGCTCTATTATAAAACTGCATGTGAACTGGTCTTGTGACCGTTTGCTTGTGCTCGGAATTTGTGTGGAATCCTCGAGATCCACCCTGAGCTTGTTTGCCTTGTTTTGCCTTGACTGGTCTTGTGACCCCTAGGTCTCCCCCACTTTGCCTATGGGGGTGTGTCAAATATTATATGTTTGTGTGGTTCTAGGCTGTAGTGGGTCACACCATAAGGGGTACACCAGATTAGGGTTTGACATATTTGTACTGTTGTTCCTGCTAGTCACTCCTCATTCTCGTTTCTCATTCTGACACCATTGTTACGAGGTAAGAATGTGCCTGTGCTGTGTTTAGGGGCGCCTCAAAACCACGAGACATGAGACAAATTTTGAGGCGCCTCAAAAGAAAGGTGAGAGTGGTGCTTGCCGAGCCTGGACCATTGCTGCAAGGTAAGAATGTGCCTGTGCTGTGGAAGTAACCCCACACTGTGATTACAGTAGGTGAGAGAGTGGGTGAGAGAGTGAGAGGGAAAGCTCACACTGGTCAACGAAGTCAAGAGCTGCCACGCCGTCAGTCCCCAGGTACCACCAGGGGTAGGTAGTGAAGTTCTGGGGAGACAAGAGAAAGAAAAAAGAGAATGGAAGGAAAAGTGCAAAACGTCATGTGAGTCAAGGGATGAAGGTATCAGCAACACCAGAGGTAACGAGTGGAATTTTAGTTAGACAGGGAGAGGGGGGATCGGCGAGGGGGGAAGGGAGAGGAGAGATAACGGTTGAACAAAGACAAACACAATCGGAAGGAAGGAACCACCCGGGGTGGAAAGTTAAGGTCCGAGGAGAGGGAGTGGAGAAGGGAGAACGCAGAGGAGAACGCAGAGAAGTTGCATTCGCACCCCCCTCCCTTCTCCCCCCCTACTCTCCTCCCCCTACCTACTCCCTCCTCCCTTTACCCCCCCTCTTCTCCCCACAACTCACCCCTCGCCACCTCTCCATCTACTCACCTCCCTCACAGCCGCCCGCCAGAACCCCTCCGCGACAGCTGGCAGGGCGGCGAGCACGCAGATGGACCTCTCCCCGACCGCCACGTCAGCGAAGAGCGGCGCAAACTCGTCCACGGGGTAGCTGACGGGGATGGTGCTGACGGGGATGAGTGAGCCGTCCAGCTCAGCACGGATCTTGGAGGCGAGATCTGAGCCGTAGATCTCGTTGGAGTAGAACAGATGGACTTCGTTGAACTGGAAGAATCTGATCAGCGCCGCGATTTCCCTGGCCTGGTGCTTGTCAGCGAAGCTGCTTGTAAGGAGGACAGGGAAGGAGAGGAGCAAGTGGGGGAAGGAAGGCTAGGATGAATATTGGAGCAAGTTATTCTTCTCAGTATTCTGAATCCCATTCCCATCCTCACACTCCAACCCATTACCACCCAGTCACACCAATTTCCACCCACTCACACAATCCGGAAAAACGTGTCATAATCCGGCGTGTTGAGAACGTCAGCATTAGCAGAAAAGGATACGAAGGGAATCCTCTTGGGGTGTGCGGGAAGGAAGAGCAAATTACACCAAGGCAACTAGAGCACCACTTCACACCCATTCGCACCTGTTACTGCCGACTCCCACAAATCTCCACCCATTCACACTGTTCTGAAGAACGTGCTGTAATCCGGGGTGTTGAACACACCAGCAGTAGCAGCGAAGGGGAATACCTTTGCGGAATCCCTTCTCGAGACAAAGAGAGCACCCCAAGTACCCACTCCCACCGATTCACACCCACACCCACCCACTCACACAGTTCTGAAGAACGTGTTATAATCTGGCGTGTTGAACACATCAGCAGTAGCAGCAAAGGACACGTAGGGGATCCCTTTAGGCTGTAGCACGGAGTTGGCTCCCTTGACTGCCTCGGAGCACGCTGGTCCCACCACCCCCACCACGTTCATCAGGTCTAGACGCTGTGAGTGGGGACACGGGGGGAGGGGGGGAAAGGAACGGGTCATGTCATGAGTGGATGGGAAGGAGCGCACGGAGTTGGCTCCCTTGATTGCCTGCCTCGGAGCAGGCAGGTCCCACCACGTCCATCAGGTCTAGACGCTGTGAGGAGGGTGGAAGGGGGGAGAGGGGAGGGGGAGAGTATGTGGCGAGTATGGGGTATATGGGGGGTACGGGGTTGCCTCCCCTCACTGCCTCGGAGCAGGAAGGTCCCACCACGTTCATCAGGTCTAGACGCTGTGAGGAGAGGAGAAGGGCAGGAGAGAACGGGACGGCATGAGGGAATGGGAGGGCGTGAAAAAATTGGAAAGGGGAGCAGCGGAGCAGGGAGGGGGGGTTAAAGCAGCAGCAAATGACACGAAGGGAACGCCTTTGGGCTGCAGCACGGAGTTGGCTCCCCTCACTGCCTCGGAGCACGCCGGCCCCACCACCCCCACCACGTTCATCAGGTCTAGACGCTGGGAGAGGGGCGAGGAGTGGGGAGTGAGAGTGGGGTATATGGAAGGCTGCAGCACGGAGTTGGCTCCCCTCACTGCCTCAGAACATGCCGGCCCCACCACCCCCACCACGTTCATCAGGTCTAGACGCTGGGAGAACAGGTGAAGGGAGAAGGGAGGGGATAGGAAGAGCACGGGGTTGGCTCCCCACACTGCCTCCGAGCAGGAAGGTCCCACCACGTTCATAAAGTCTAGACGCTGAACGGATAGGCGAAGGGAAGGGGGGAGTGGGGAGGGGGAGAGTATGTGGCGAGTATGGGGTATATGGGGGGTACGGGGTTGCCTCCCCTCACTGCCTCCGAGCAGGAAGGTCCCACCACGTCCATTAAGGCTAGTCGCTGAACGGATAGGCGAAGGGATAAAGGAGGGGACGGGAGGGCATGAGGGAATGGGAGGGCATGGGGGAATGGGGGGGCATGAGGGAATGAGAGGGCAGGAGAGAATGGGAGGGCATGAGGGAATGGTAGGGCATGAGGGAATGGGAGGGCAGGAGAGAATGGGAGGGCAGGAGAGAATGGGAGGGCAGGAGAGAATGGGAGGGCAGGAGAGAATGGGAGAGGGGAGCAGTGGGTAGTGAGGGGAGGGGTTGAGGCAGCGGAGGACTCGTGGAGTGGGCTCCCCCCACAGCAGCCGGGACGAACCTTTTTGAGGCGCCTCAAAAATATTTTGAGGCGCCTCAAGAATGGGAGAGGGGAGCAGTGGGTAGTGAGGGGAGGGGTTGAGGCAGCGGAGGACTCGTGGAGTGGGCCCCCCCCACAGCAGCCGGGACGAACCTCACTTTTTTTTTTTTTTTTTTTTTGAGACGTCTCTTGAGATGCCTATTGAGACGACTTTTGAGACGTCTCAAAAGGCAGCGGAGGACACGTGGAGTTGGCTCCCCCTACAGCAGTCGGGACGAAGCTCACTAAAAAAGTTGACTTTTGAGACGTCTCTTGAGACGAATTTTGAGACATCTCAAAAGGCACCCAAGGACACGAGGAGTTGGCTCCCTCCACAGCAGTCGGGACGAACCTCACTCAAAAAGTTGTAACCTAAAAGCTAACAACTAACAAATAAGTTGCAACCATTTTCCAACGCCCCCTTCTCCACCCCTTTCCCCCTGTTGCTCCCCCTTTCCCATTTGAAGTCAATCTTACCTCTGCTGCCACTGCTGCATCCTCGCTATTGCACGGCACCACCTCCACCACTGGCATGACATTAAAAGTTGCATTATAACGGGGCCCGAGCACGTCCAGCGCCACCCTTGTAGCGGACATCCTAACAGCGCGTACAAATCAGAGGGAGGAGTTGATACGGGAGGGTAACGGCCAAGAGCTCCGTTCTTTGTTAATGGAAGGAGGTACTGAGAGGAAGTATGCGGGATGGGAGGGAGAGATGACTCAAGAGGCGCTTTGGAAAGAGCTACCAGTTCCTCGCTTTGCAAATGGAGGGAGACGCGGAGGTGAGACGGCGGGAGGGGGAGGGAGAGATGATTCAGGAGGCGCTTTGAAAAGGGCTACCAGCTCCTGGCTTTGCGAATGGAGGTAGACACACGAAGGGGAGGTGGCGGGAGGGGGGGAGAGAGATGAAGGGGACATCAAGAGGGGTGTTGGGTGAAAAGCAAGAAGGGTGAGTGAGCGGAGGTGAGAGAGTGAGAGCAGGGTGGGAGAAGGAGAGGAAGGTGAGTGAGAGGAGTGTGAGTAAGAGGAGTGTGACAGTAACGAGCGTAACTCACCATTCGTCCGCCAGCCGTTTGGTGATGCCGATGTTGACTTCGGGACTCGGGAGAATAAAGCCGAGCCGCAGATACTGCACCGGCAGCGCGTCGCACGGCCGGCAGCAGATGCTGCTTAGTAGTAGCAGACCTAAGAGTGGGCCGACTTTAGCAGGGATATTTCCCGCGTGGCGTATGGCCCGCCTAATAGTTCCCATCGAAGCCGTGAGGTGCGTAGTGGATTCGAATTTAGGGTGTGATTGTTCGGGTGAGTGCTAGCGGGTTATGGAATGTTCCTGTAACGGGGGGTCTCTGATTGTAACTGGTCAACGTGACTGTAACGGGCAGTGGTGATTGAAGCAATTACTACTCTATGACAGGTAGCTTGTAAATAGCGGTTCGCGTTCTGAGGAGCCTGAGCAGCGGCTAGCCGACTCAACCGGTAGAGCTGACGTGTCAGGGGGTCCTGCGGGGCTAAAGGACGTTACTCCAAACGGAGGTGACTTTTGAGTAAATTTGAAAGTTCCACGTCAATAAGAGCCGTTCCTGCTCTGTAACTTGACAGCCTTCGGAGTCGATTCGAAAGTTCCACGTCGATAAGAGCCGTTACTGCTCTAACTCGCTAACTTGACAGCCTTTGGAGAGAGATAGCTGCGAGGCTATGGTGGTACGAATAATATCAGGAAAGGGAAACCACTATGGATGAAAGGTGATCCCAGTGTTGGTGCGTGTGATGACAGGGACACACGATGTCGTCAACGCCACGTGCTGTCCTGTCGGCGCGTCAAAGGCAACCAGGTAAGACTGTATTCATTGCATCACTTCGCTTTACACGACTCTTGCCTACATGGCACTGAAAAGGACGCAAGTGGCAATTTGTCCGTTTACCGCGACTGAAAACGGACCGCCTCGCTGACTCACAGAGAGTAAAACAAAATAATCCGAGAAACAAATAAGGTGGGATGGCAATTATGGACGGTGCGAGGGAAGGTGTTTCGCAAGAGACGGTGTTCCTAATTTTCGCAAGAAATTAGGAACCTAGCGGAGAAACACCTCTGACAACGTCGGTGGCATACGCGCCATCGATCGGTCTCCCTAGAAACATCCCAAGCGTTTCCGGCTCGGCCGTACCTCACATGCAAGCCGCACACAAACCCACTGTATGCCACTGGGAAACTCGAACCTGAACTAGGTTTCCGCGAGCCGCGTGTCGGCAGGCCCTCCAAATTTCTTGGCGGGAAGAGCTCACAGCGCGGGTGCGTGAAACTTTACATCAGTAAACTAATAACACTACTAAGTAAAAGTCGCACTACCTGAATAATATGGAATGCTATGTATAAGAAATTGTTGGAAACCATTACTGCCACTTTCTGTTCCCCAATAATGCCAAGTTCGAAGACATCTAATCAAATACTCACTCTATTTCCCTACTGTCCCGCTCCCATTGTCAAAAGCTCAAGCTACAATACACTGTCGATTTTCCTATCCCATCTTGTTTTGTATTTGCCGGTGCACATACACCAAAAACTCCACGTAGGACATCCCCGACGGCGAACGGTCCTCGACCAGCGTTTGAAAGAAAAGATTCTCTGATGTGACACATGGAATGAAAGGCATCAAACGTACACAAATAAAGCGTTGCACAATAAGTTAGTGTTACTGCACTGGACGGATGGAAAGGCCAGTGAGGCGATGAGTAAGAACGAAGAGACACATAAGGGAGGAAAGCCGCACAAGAAACACAGTCTTATACATATGACCTTTAATGTTAAAGGAATGCAATCTCATACCTGATGGATCACCTCTCTTGAGAAGCCGAAGCCTGCAGGTTTGGTTAAAGGATGCGGGGGGAAGGGAGATTAGTGCATGTGTGGGGGATGGGGAAGAGGACAGAGGGGAGGGGGGAGAGGGGAGGGGGGAGAGGGGAGGGGGGGGTCGGGTGGAGCTGGGTGTGGGTGTGGGTGTGCGTGTGGGTGTGCGTGTGGGTGTGGGTGTGTGTGTGCGTGTGCGTGTGGGTGTGGTTGCAGTGGGTGTGGGTGGGTACGTGAAAACGCCAAAGAGGTTGGGGGCCAGAACAGTGTGATTCATGGCAGAAGAGTGACAGAAACGAAACAACTCGGAGGCAACACCTTCCATTTCCCCTCCCATCTAACCTTAACCTGTTCTGTTAGCATCGATCCTCCCTACAAGCCTCTCCACACAACTTGTAAGTCTCCCATAGGTTCATATGCGCTTCCCATACCCTAACAACCCTCCCATACCCTTACGAGCCTCCTATACCCCTTATAAGCCTCCCATACTCTTTGTAAGCCGCTCACCTGAGGTACGAGCACCGCTGGCGACGAATCTCGTTCACAATGGCGTTGAGCTTGCGCGATGCAGGGTTGTCAAACTCTTGCAGCAGGAACTGCGGGATGGGCAGGATGGAAGGGTGACGGGAAGGAGCAGGAAAGAGAGGTGAAACGGGGGAGACTAGGAGAAGAGGAGAGAGGAGGTGGAAGGGGGGAGATTAGGGGCATAGGAGAGAGGTGGAAGGGGGGGGGTAGTAGGAGAAGGCGAGAGAGGAGATGGAAGGGGCGATCCAGTTCAGAAGGACGTTCAGCTTGAGCGATGCAGGGTTGTCAAACTCTTGCAGCCAGTCAAGAAAGTCAACCCAAGTCAAGTGACAAGCGGGGCAAGAGCAGGTGGCAGGCGCGGGGACTCACGGGGCCGGGAGCGATTTCATCGACAGAACGCAACCTAGAGGGGTCAAACAGGTCAAGGAAAGCCATGCTACTGAATCCAGTCGATTGGGTCAAGCAAGTCAACCCAAGTCAAGCGGGTCAAGAGGTGCCACGCCACTCACGGGGCCGGGAGCGATTTCATCGACGGATTGCAGGCCAAAGAGGTCAAACAGCAGATGGCTGTCCGCCCAGTTCTCCACCAGTCAAGAAAGTCAACCCAAGTCAAGCGCGTAAAGAGTTGCCACTCACCGGGCCGGGGGCAATCTCATCAACGGATCGCAGGCCAAAGAGGTCAAAGAGCAGATGGCTGTCCGCCTCCCTGCCCACCCACACCACCGCCTCCTCCCCGTTCTCCACCAGAAACACTCCATCCGGCTCGAGCTTTTCACTGGAGAGGGGGAGCGCGGACGGCAGGTGCTCATGCTGCTGCTCCTCTTCTGTCCCGTTCTGCTGCTTCTGCTGCTCCTGAAAAGATGGGAGAGGGAGAACGGGAGGTCAAAGCAAGAGAGAAAAGAAAAACACTTGAGCCCACCCACACCACCGCCTCCTCTCCGTTCTCCACCAGAAACACCCCGTCGGGCTCGAGCTTTTCACTGGAGAGGGGGAGAGCAGACGGCAGGTGCTCGTGCTGCTGCTCCTCCTCTGTCCCGTTCTGCTGGTTCTGCTGCTCCTCATGGGTTCAAAGAGGGAGATTTGATGACAAGAACAGAGAATCAGCCCACCCACACCACCGCCTCCTCCTCGTTTTCCACCAGGAAGACTCCATCCGGCTCCAGCTTTTCACTGGAAAGGGGCCGCGCAGAGGGGAGATGCTCATGCTGCTCCTGCCCCTCCTCTGTCCCGTTCTGCTGCTTCTGCTGCTCCTGAAAAGATGGGAGAGGGGAAAGCGGGAGGTCAAAGCAAGAGAGAAAAGTAAAACACTTGAGCACACCCACACCACGGCCTCCTCCCCGTTCTCCTCCAGATACACCCCATCCGACTCCAGCTTCTCGCTTGAGAGAGGCAGGGCGGACGGCAGGGTGTGATAAGTCGAGTTTTGAGTCGACTCAAAACTCTAGAGAGGCAGTGCGGACGGCAGGGGGAAACACGAGGGAAAGAAGTTAAGAGCAGAGCAGGTGGTGCAGGGCGAAGAGGCGCAGGTAGGCAAGAGACATGCAGAGCGAGCAGAGAGGCGTGCAGAGCGGTGCAGGAGGAGGTGACATGAGGTGCAGAGCGGTAGAGTGAGGTGTCATTTACCTGGTTGGCTGCGTCCTTCAAGAGGTGGTGCAGGGCGAAGAGGCGCGGGTAGACGAGAGGAACGCAGAGTGAGGCAGAGAGGGATGCAGAGTGAGGCAGAGAGGGATGCAGGGCGAGGTGTCAACAGTTGCAGGGTGGTGTAGATAAGTACACTCAGTAGTGAATGAAACTTACCTGGTTTGCTGCGTCCTTCAGGAGGTGGTGCAGGGCAAAAAGGCGTGGGTAGGTGAAAGGCACACAGAGCGAGGCAGAGTGGTGCAGGGGGAGGTGACAAAAGGTGCAGAGTGGTGGACAGCGGTGCAGAGATGCCCACCTGATTCGCTGCGTCCTTGAGGAGGTGGAGTAGGGCGAAGAGGCGCGGGTAAACGAGAGGCACACGGAGCAAGGCGGACAGTGGAGAGAGGTACCCGGTAAGAGAGGTGACAGGAGGTGCAGAGTAGCAGAGAGAGGTGCAGAGATGCTCACATGGTTGGCAGCATCCTTGAGAAGGGGGTGCAGAGCGACTAGGAGAGGGTAGACGAGAGGCACACAGAGCGACGCAGAGAGGGGTGCAGAACGCTGCAGGAGGAGGTGATAAGAGGTGCAGAGCGGTAAAGCGAGGTGCAACGAGGTGACACTCACCTGGTTGGCGGCATCCTTGAGAAGGTGGTGCAGGGCGAAGAGGCGCGGGTAGACGAGAGGCACGCAGAGCGAGGCAGAGAGGGGGCGCACTCCCGCCAGCCAGGCCGACTTTATGTGCATATAAAATCAATTCCCTTCATTCACAGAATGTCATCTCACCTGATTCGCTGCGTCCTTGAGCAGGTGGTGCAGGGCAAAGAGGCGCGGGTAGACCAAGGGCACAGAGAGCGACGCAGAGAGGGGGCGCACTCTCGCCAGCCAGGCCGACCGCTCGTCCACCTTCACGTCTCCCCTCAGACCCTGCGACTTGAGGAGGGCTGGGCGAGATTGGGGTGATGGGAGGATGGGGCGAAGGAAGGGGGGTGCAGAGAGGACGGAGATACGAGATGCGTTAAGAGGAGGTACTCATTCTCGCCCGCCAGGCCGGCCGCTCGTCCACCTTCACGTCTCCCCTCAAGCCCTGTGACTTGAGGAGGGCTGGAGGAGGGGGGGATGGGGTGATGGAGGGATGGGGGTCAAGGAAGGAGAGTGCACAGAGGACGGAAATACGAGATGTGTTGGCAACAAGTAGCTGGTGCGCACTCCTGCCAGCCAGGCCGACCGCTCGTCCACCTTCACGTCTCCCCTCAGAACCTGTGACTCGAGGAGCGCTGGGGGGGAAAGAGGGGGGGTAGGGGTGGTGGCAAGGGGGGGCGGTGATGGGGATGGTGGAATGGAACATAGTGGTGATGGGGATGGTGGAATGGAACATAGTGGTGATGGGGATGGTGGAACATAGTGGCAGGGAATCGCCGAGAGGTGCTGATGGGGATGAGCTCTCGCCAGCCAGGCGGAGCCCTCGTCCACCTTCACGTCTCCCCTCAGACCCTGTGACTTGAGGAGGGCTGTGGTGAGGTTGGGATGGTGGGGTGATGGGGCGGAGGAAGGGGAGTGCGCAGAGGACAGCGATACGAGATGTGTTGGCAACAACAAGTACTCTGTCCTCTGTGCTCCAGCAAGTAGCTGGTGCGCACTCTTGCCAGCCACGCCGCCCGCTCGTCCATCTTCACGTCTTCCCTCACACCCTTTTGAGGCGCCTCAAAAGTCAAGTGCTGGAACCCCCTTTTGAGGCGCCTCAAAAGTCAAGTGCTGGAACCCCCTTTTGAGGCGCCTCAAAAGTCAAGTGCTGGAACCCCCTTTTGAGGCGCCGCGCCTCAAAAGTCTTCCCTCACACCCTGCGGCTTGAATTGACAAGTGCTGGAAGAAGGTGGGGTGATCGGATGATGGGAGAATCGATTGCCCAGAAGATGAGGCAGTGGCACAGAACTTTCGGTAGGTGTAGAGAATGCTCACTGCTGTCTGCACTTCAACTGCTTACTGCTTGTGGTGTGCCTGCATCTTGCATACTTAGACGGATCTACTCAACCCCTCTGCACCACTCACCCAGAGTGTTAAGAGGCAGCAGCTTGAGGGCCTCTGGTAAGATAAGTTGCCCGGAGGAGGAGGTAGGTAGTGGCACAGAACTTGCAGTAGGTGTGGAGAATAGAATGGAAGGACTGAGGCAGGGCGCTTAAGGAAACTTCACTCAACCACACTACCACCACTCACCCAGGGTGTACAAGGGCAGCAGCTTGAGTGCTTCTGGCAAGATAAGTTGCCCAGAAGATGAGGCAGTGGCACAGAACTTGCGGTAGGTGTAGAGAATGCTCACTGCCGTCTGCACTGCTGCGTCCCGCACTGGTTGCACAGGGTGAGTCACCACGTCCGCAGCAGCTGCAGGAAAGAGAGAGGAATGGGGAAAAGGAAAATACGAAATGGGACTTGCAGTGGTAGTTGTGGTGTAGAGAATGCGTACTGCCGTCTGCACTGCTGCGTCTCGCACTGGCTGCACGGGATGCGTTACCACATCCGCAGCAGCTGTAGGGGGGAGAGGAGAAGAGGTTGAAGGGGGATGGGGAGAGCAAAAGGATAAACAGAACTTGCGGTAGGTGTGAAGAATGCTCACTGCCGCCTGCACTGCTGCGTCTCGCACTGGCTGCACCGGGTGGGTTACCACGTCCGCAGCAGCTGTAGGAGAGGCGGGGGGAGGGGGAGGAAGAGGGAGAGAGTGAAAGAATGACAGAAGTTGAAGCGGTAGGTGTGGAGAATGCTCACTGCTGTCTGCTCTGCTGCATTTGAGGCGCCTCAAAAGTCTGCTCTGCTGCATCCCGCACTGGTTGCACCGGGTGGTCTACTTACCACGTCCATAACAGCTATAGGAGGGAGAGGAGAGTTGGGGGACGGAAGGAACAGGAAACGAAATGCTCACTGCTCATTGCTCACTGCCGTCCGCACTGCTTGTCAGCAGCTGTAGGGGGGTGCGAAAGGGGGAAAGCAAAGGGTGCAGGAACCAGCAGTCTTGGGCGCGTACGCGAATTGGGTGCCCGGTCAGCCCCGCGGAACACAGAGGCTAGCAATAGAAGGCAGCGAGAGGGTGTGCTTACAAACACATCTAAACCCCTTCACAACACACCAGTGTTGCACATGCAGCCCCAACCCACCTGTCTTGAGCATGTACGCGAATTGCGCGTCCAGATCAGCCCCTCGGAACACAGAGGCCAGAGAGGCCGTGGTGGGCAGCGAGAGGGTGTGCACTCAAGAGACACACACCCCCTTACACTATCCCTCTTCACCACTCCTCACCGTCCCCAACCCACCTGTCTTGAGCATGTACGCGAATTGCGCGTCCAGATCAGCCCCTCGGAACACAGAGGCCAGAGAGGCCGTGGTGGGCAGCGAGAGGGTGTGCACTCAAGAGACACACACCCCCTTACACTATCCCTCTTCACCACTCCTCACCGTCCCCAACCCACCTGTCTTGAGCATGTACGCGAATTGCGCGTCCAGATCAGCCCCTCGGAACACAGAGGCCAGAGAGGCCGTGGTGGGCAGCGAGAGGGTGTGCACTCAAGAGACACACACCCCCTTACAATATCCCTCTTCACCACTCCTCACCGTCCCCAACCCACCTGTCTTGAGCATGTACGCGAATTGCGCGTCCAGATCAGCCCCGCGGAACACAGAGGCCAGAGAGGCCGTGGTGGGCAGCGAGAGGGTGTGCACTCAAGAGACACACACCCCCTTACACTATCCCTCTTCACCACTCCTCACCGTCCCCAACCCACCTGTCTTGAGCATGTACGCGAATTGCGCGTCCAGATCAGCCCCTCGGAACACAGAGGCCAGAGAGGCCGTGGTGGGCAGCGAGAGGGTGTGCACTCAAGAGACACACACCCCCTTACACTATCCCTCTTCACCACTCCTCACCGTCCCCAACCCACCTGTCTTGAGCATGTACGCGAATTGCGCGTCCAGATCAGCCCCGCGGAACACAGAGGCCAGAGAGGCCGTGGTGGGCAGCGAGAGGGTGTGCACTCGCACACGCCTCTCCCCCGTGGTGGTGGTGTAGAGAATGGCGCACTGCAGGGAGGGAGAAAGGGGGGGACATGCAGGGCAGGAGAGGGGATGAAGGGGAGGGTACGGAAGAGAGTGGTGGGGTGGGCAGCGAGAGGGTGTGCACTCGCATGCGCCTCTCCCCCGTGGTGGTGGTGTAGAGAAAGGCGCACTGCAGAGGGAGGGGTAAGTGAGAATAAGTTAGAGGGGAAAGAAACAAAACTTAGACGTGGGAGTAGTGGTGGGCAAGAAAGACCAACACGGGAACAACAGAGGCCCACCTGAGAGCAACAGAGACCCACCTGAGAGCAACAGAGACCCACCTGAGAGCAACAGAGGCCCACCTGAGAGCAACAGAGACCCACCTGAGAGCAACAGAGACCCACCTGAGAGCAACAGAGACCCACCTGGATGCAACAAAGGCCCACCTGAAAGCAGGCTTCGCTGTTCTCTGCGAGTTTCTCATCGTGCTTGACGGTTGCCATGATGGCCTTGTCACTGTCCATCTGGGTGTGGTAAAAAAAGGGGGGAGAAGTGTAGTTGTATGAGAGTGATTAGAGGAGGATGTGACAACACAGGTTGAGAGCAGGAACGGCTTGATGGTTGCCATGGTGGCCTTGTCGCTGTCCATCTGGGTGTGGTTGAAAAGGGCGAGGGGGGGAGAGGGTAGGGTACTAATGTGATAACATGCCTAATGGTGTGCTTGATGGTTGCCATGATGGCCTTGTCGCTGTCCATCTGGGTGTGGTTAAAGGGGAGTAAGGGTGCCCGGGAAGGCGGAGGGGGAAGGGCGGGGAAGGGGGAGGGGGAAGGGGGGGGGGAGGGAAGGAAGGGAGAGAGGGTACTAATGTGGTGACACGCCTAACAGTGTGTTTAATGGTTTCCGTAATGATCTTGTCGCTGTCCATTTTTGAGGTGACTTTTGAGTCGACTCAAAAGTCATCTGTGGTGACGAGGTGACTTTTGAGTCGACTCAAAAGAGAGGGTACTAATGTGGTGACACGCCTAACAGTGTGTTTAATGGTTTCCATAATGATCTTGTCGCTGTCCATTAAATTGTGATTATACGCACGTGATTGAATGAGCGTGATTATAAGAGCACGTGACAATACAGGGTGGGGCCAGGACGGGCAGCAAGGGTCGTCCTTGTGAAAGTCCAAAAGCTCAAAGAAGCAGAAAGATCCACTTTTGAGCATGACGTAACAGAATGACTTCTGAGGCGCTTCAAAAAGATCCAAACGTAACAGAATGAATTTTGAGGCGCCTCAAAAGATCCAAACGTAACAGAATGAATTTTGAGGCGCCTCAAAAGATCCAAACGTAACAGAATGAATTTTGAGGCGCCTCAAAAGATCCCCACATAATAAATTGCCCGAAACAACTCAGAGGGACGCACCGCTGGCAGATATATTTCGGCAGGGATGCGGCGGTGAAAGTTGCCGAAGTAATCGGACACAGACAGGCCCTGCAGAGAGGGCGGGGGGGGAAGGAGGGGAGGAAACGGTGGTGTGGGCAGTATGATTGGCCAACAGGGATGCAGCGATGGAAGTTGCCAAAGCAATCGGACACGGACAGGCCCTGCAGAGAGGGCGCGGGGGAGAAAGGGAGGGAGGAAAGGAGGAGAGGTTGTATCAGTAAGCGCATGTAGGGTATTTTTTAGAATTCTCAATAATACCGAACTAGTCTGTAGGGATGCAGCGATGGAAGTTGCAGAAGTCGTCAGACACCTGAGCCCACCTGCCTGCTCTGTTGTCTCCACCTGAGCCCACCTGTCTGCTCTGTTGTCTCCACCTGAGCCCACCTGCCTGCTCTGTTGTCTCCACATGAGCCCACCTGCCTGCTCTGTTGTCTCCACCTGGTTGCACCGCACTTTCATGACTCCTTCAAACGTGTGCGGCCGTCTCATGGCCCCGTCTGTTGTTTTCACCTGAGATCTCACCTGTCTGGTCTGTTGTTCTCACCTGGCTGCACCGCACTTTCATAACCCCTTCGAACGTGTGCGGCCGTCTCACAGCCCAGCGCAGGTCATTATGGAGTTTACCCCCGTCATGTGCGGCACTGAAGGGGTAGTAGCTGTAGAGCTGGCGTTGGCGGGGGTTGGGGGAGTGGAGTGGATGTATGGGGAAGTGGAAGGGAGTATGGGAAGATGGAAGGAGAGGGAAGAAGTGTGTGAAAGGGAGGCTTCTCAACGGGAAGAGGGCCGTCTCACAGCCCAGCGCAGGTCATTATGCAGTTTACCCCCGTCATGCGCTGCACTGAAGGGGTAGTAGCTGTAGAGCTGGGGGGGGGGAGTGGTGGGGAGGTTTATGGGGAGGTGAAAGAAGGTATGGGAAGTGTGTGAGAAGAGGTTCTCGATGAGTTGAAGGGCCGTCTCACAGCCCAGCACTGGTCGTTCTGCAGCTTACCCCTGTCCTGAGCTGCACTAAAGGGATAGAAGCTGTAGAGCTGGCTGGTGTTGAAGGGTGAAGGGGGGAGGGGGGAAGTGGGGGGAAGGGAGAGGGGGAGGCTGTGCACGAGGGAAGGGAGGTTATGTGCCGAATTGCGGAACGAGAGTGTGCAGAAGAGAGCAATGAATGCCCTCACCTGCCCCCCTGTGATCCAGGGAATAACAGTGATGGAAGCGGCATCGGCGAACCCCTGGGTGGTCAGAAACACGTCAACCAACCGCCACTTGGAAGTCCGCCATATCCTCCGCCATCCGCCTCGCATCTGATTGAACAAGTGTTTTGACACGTCTCAAAACACTTCTTCAATCACAATTTTGACACGTCTCAAAACACTTCTTCAATCACAATTTTGAGACGTCTAGTAACACGTCAACCGCCACTTGGAAATCCGCCATCTCCTCCGCCATCAGCCTCGCATCTCCCATCAACACCTCCCCCATCCCCACTGCAAGCCCTGCCACTGCCTCACCTGTCCGCCTGTGATCCGGGGAATGACAGCAATCGAAGCTGCATCGGCGAACCCCTGCGTGGTCAGAAACACATCCACCGCCACTTGGAAATCTGCCATTTCTTCCGCCATCGGCCTCAGCTGCTTGTCATTTGGCTGCAGCAGCTTCAGCACGTCTTTATCTGCAACGGTGGCGTTTGCTCGTCCCTCTGCTTCCCGAGAGGAAAGTGATCCGATGCCAACAGAAGGAAGAACTGCGGACGGGGCAGAAGGAACAGGGAAGGTGGGACGGGGTAGAAGGAAGAGGGGGGGGAAGGATGTGAGCTGCTTGTCGTTGAGCTGCAGCAGCTTCAGCAGCTTCAGCACGTCTTTATCCGCCACTAACGCGCTTGCCCTCCCTCTGGATTCTCGAGACAAGAGCGACCCGATTCCCGCAGAGGGGAGAGGTGGACGAGGAGAGGGAGGGGCAGGGAACGAGGGCTGGGGAGAGAAGGGAAGCCCCACAGCAAAGGCCTTGCATCTTGTCGTTTGGCTGCAACGAAATGACTTTTTCCAGCTCATGCGCTGCGAGCCTATTCCGAAAACGAGACACGGGTACATGAATACACACGATTCAAGTATCCAGCTAGAGGACCAGATGTGCCAGCATTGTGGGTGCGTATGAAAGGCAGTATCTGCCGAGCTAGCTGGAATGGGCAATAGTACCTGACTGGAAGGCTAGGATCCGGCCTCCTGTTTTCTTCATGGCTAGGAAAGCACCCTGGAGGGAGAGAGAGAGAGAGAGAGAGAGAGAGAGAGAGAGAGAGAGAGAGAGAGAGAGAGAGAGAGAGAGAGAGAGAGAGAGAGAGAGAGAGAGAGAAGAGGAGTGGCAGACGAGGAGGCAGTGGGAGAGGAGAGGAGAGTGGGGAGGGAGCGAGGAACAAAAAAACGCAAACGGGGTGAATAGAAGAATTAGCACCCCTGGCAAGCTGGGTGACAAAAAACCTTGCCAGCCCCCTGGCAGCGCTTCTCCCAGGCATGAGTCAGCGACTCAAGTCTCTGCAAACACCCCTAACAATTATGCACCCCCACACATACCTCTCTCCCCACACACACCCACACTGCACACACTCACCTGCAGCGCTGCGCCCAGGCACGAGTCAGCAACACGTGTTTCGGCAAACATCTGAGGAATCGACTCCAGCAGCTGCTGCAGCCGCTCCCACACCGACCCATCCCCTATCCAGACACACGCATGCACAGAAAACACACTCACCTGCAGCGCTGCCCCCAGGAATGAGTCAGCGACACGTGTCTCGACAAAAATCTATATTATTGACTCCAGCAGCTGCTGCAGTTGCTCCCGCACCCACGCACAAACAAAGCACACCCACCCACACTCCTGCAATGCAACGCTGCCCCTCCCTTCCCCCTTCCTCAATCACCCACCTGCAGCGCTGCGCCCAGGCATGAGTCAGCCACACGTGTCTCTGCAAACATCTGGGGGATCGACTCCAGCAGCTGCTGCAGCCTCTCCCGCGCCTGATGGGGGAACAAAAGGAGGGGAGGAGATGAGAGGGTTTCGGGTTGAGAGGGTAGAGAGGGCAGGCAGGGGCTCGTATCAGGCACGAGTCAGTCAGCCACGCGAGTCTCTGCAAACATAGTGACTTTTGAGTCGACTCAAAAGAGGTGACTTTTGAGTCGACTCAAAAGGGGCTCGTATCAGGCACGAGTCAGTCAGCCATGCGAGTCTCAGCAAACATTTGAGGAATCGACTCCAGAAGCTGCTGCAGCCGCTCCCGCGCCTGATGGGGGAATGAGGATGAGAAGGGATGAGGATGAGAGGGGATTAGAGGGGATGAGAGGAAATGAGAGGGAATGAGAACGGATGAGAGGGGATGAGAACGGATGGGAAGGGATGACAGGGGAATAAGAGGGCGTAGGGTTGCAGGGTGTTTGTGAGAATTCTCAAAAACACCCTGCAGCATCATGGGGTAGAAATGAGGGCCCGCAGGGGATCGTTTCAGGGGGCAAGAAACAGCAACGCGTGTTATTCTGACATTTAAGAATTCTCCCATCCCATGGCAAACATCTGTGCAATGATTGCCGCTTCTAACTAAAGCCCGCCTCATCAAACAGTATAATAAGGTAGAACGGCATGGGAATGACATGACCTCCCATCCCATGGCCTGATCATCATGGGAGTGTCATGGGTCAGTGAAGCTCCGACTCAAGCATACCATAGCTACAGGACTCTACCTCATCAAGCGGAACGATGAGGTCAGAGGGCAGCGGAGTGTATACGCCCTTCCACCTCTGGAGCTCTTTTCCTTAAATTCTTCTGACTGCTGCTCGCCCAGTCTACATGGCTACAGGACTCTACCTCGTCAAGCGGAACGATGAGGTCAGAGGGCAGGGGGGTGTACACGTCTTCCACTTCAGGCACCACCAGCATGGACGGCTGGAGGCGGGAGATGAAAGGGAGGGGAGGAGGGGGGAAGTGGGTGCGTGCAGGCACGATGCGGTCAGAGGGCAGCGGAGTGTACACGTCTTCCACTTCAGGCACCACCAGCATGGACGGCTGGAGGCGGGAGGGGGGCACGGGTTGTGATGGGGAAAGTTTGGCAAGGTCTGATGCCAGGGGAGTGTACACGTCTTCCACTTCTAGTACCACCAGCATGGACGGCTGCAGGGGGAAAGGCAGGGGTGGGTGGGGGGTTTGTAGGGGACGATAAGTGGTACAGTAAGGTTTGGTGAGGTCGGACGGCAGGGGGGCGTACACGTCCTCTACCTCTGGGCCACCAGCATGTACGGCTGCAGGTGGGGAGGCAAGAGGGTTACTTACATACAGGCCACATGACCTCTATGGGATCAGAGGGCAAGAGGGTTACTTACAGTTACAGGGGTAATAATGCCACATGGAAGGGGCTTATGACCTTCAACAGCAGCACCACCAGTGCATATGGGTAGATGTACCATGAGTGTTACAAGTCAAGTTACGGTTACGGCCCACCGTTACAAGTCACCGTTACAAGTCACTCGTTACAAGTCGCCGTTACAGCTGTGGCTAAGACCCACGAACAAATTCGTAATTTGTATTTCTCACCTGCGCCAGGGAGCTGTTGAGGCTGTAGAATTGGATGGTGGAGTTGAAGGTGGCAAAGGCAACGAGCGTGCGACCGCCCTCCTGGGAGAGGAGTGATGCAGTGGGGGTGGAGAGGGGTGAAGAGGCGTGGAGAGGGGCACAGGGTAAATGGTGTAGCCAGATACAGGGAGCTGTTAACGCTGAATAAGTGGATGGTGGTGTTGAAAGAGGCGAATGCAACAAGCGTGCGACCCTCCTGAGAGGGGTGAAGAGGGGTGAGCAACGGTGGTGGCAAATTGGGGTAAAGAAAAGCTCATGGGCATGGTGAATTCGTCTCTCTCACAGAGGAAACATGTCCAAATTGTTATCGTGTCTCTCTTACAGGCAGGTCCTGCAGAACTTTTGAGGCGCCTCAAAAGTCAAACTCTTACAGGCAGGTCCCGCAGAATGCGAGAGATCCCGCAGAATGCGAGAGATCCCGCAGAATGCGAGAGATGGAGGAGCATGCAGCCGAGGCAGCTCCAATTGTGACTCGAGGGTTAAGCTTGGTCAGTTAACACAATTTCTGTGGTGAAGCAGCAGCTAAACACTCACAGGCAGGTGTAAACAGAGTTGTTTTGAGACGTCTCAAAACAACTCTGTTTACAAGGTGACTTTTGAGTCGATTCAAAAGTCACCTCGTTACTATGGCACACGACAAGGCGTCTCAAAACAACGCTGTTGACACGTGGCTTCTCTCTTTCTGTGGTGAAGCAGCAGCTAAACACTCACAGGCAGGTCCTGCAGGATCTCACAAACTCGCGGCTTGAGCTTGGTTAGTGCAACGCAATTTGTACTTTAGAGTGATGGCAGCACAGAACACTCACAGGCAGGTCCTGCAGAATGCGAGAGATGGAGGAGCACGCAGCCGAGGCAGCCCCGGACGCCACAGCGTTGAAAGAAACATCGAGCAGGAAGAAGTAAACCGGGGGCATGGCATCGCGGATCTGATGTTTGTGTGTGTGGAAAAGGGTGTGCAGCAGAAGTGCTCAGAGGAGGGGAAGTGACAAGGCAGCAGCGTCAGAAGAGGCAGCCCCAGAGGCGACGGCGTTGAAAGAGACGTCCAGAAGGAAGAACTAGACTGGCAGCATGGCATCGTGGATCTGATATGTGGGCGAGGAGGAAAGGGGAGAGTGTGGGTGGGGATTAGGGCAAGAGGAGAAGTGTGGGAGCACTGAAATCGTAGGGCAGCAGAAGCAGCTCCCGAGGCAACGGCGTTGAAAGAGACATGAAGAAGGAAGAAGTAGACTGGTGGCGTGGCATCACGGATCTGAATGAGAGCGGGTGGAATGGGGTGGACAAAGAGGGAAGAAAGCGCGGCAGATTTGGAAGAAGAGGGAAAGTGGCAAGACAGAAGAGGCAGAAGAGGCAGAAGAGGCAGAAGAGGCTGCAGAGGCAGAAGAGGCTGCAGAGGCAGAAGAGGCTGCAGAGGCAGCTCCAGAAGCAGATCCACGGACTGGCCATGCATGCATGCATGCATGCACCCTAGCCTAGGCGCACTTGAAAGAACGTAGAGCACTCACAGAGCCCACAGCTGCACTCACCGAGTACTCCTTGGGAGCCACAAACTCCACGCTCCCGTGCATCAATTCTGGCCTCTCGTCCGCGTCTCGTCGCCTGCCATCCGGGCCGAGGTTGCACACGTACTCACGGGGAGTCTCGTTGGAGACGCCTGGTGGGGGAGAGAGGGACGAGGAGAGAGGAAGGACAGGGCTTTGATTCAGCCACTGCATTGGAAAGTGTATCTCATCGCCTGCCATCCGGGCCGAGGTTGCACACGTACTCACGGAGAGTCTCGTTGGAGACGCCTGGTGGGGGAGAGAGGGACGAGGAGGCAGGTTCGACTCATCAGGAAAAGGGAACATCTCTCCTGCTGCCGTTTGGACCGAGATTACACACGTATTCGCGGGGAGTCTCGTTGGACACGCCTGGTGGGAGCGAGGAATAGGTGGAAAGAGGGGGATGAGGATGAGGGGAGGTTGACCCACCTTCCCAACCCCACCTCTCCCTTCTCTCTTCCCACTCTCCCACTCACCGCACAGGTTACAGATGAACTTCCTCCCATGATCCACGAATCGCATGAATGCATTGATGCATGCCTTGCCCTCTCCCTCATCTCTCTCTCTCTCCTCATCCTTGTACCATAACCAGTTCCTCTCTCCCCTCTCACACACCGCACAGGTTACAGATGAACCTCCTCCCATGATCCACGAATAGCATGAACGGGTTGATTGATGTATGCCTTACCCTTCCAATCCTCTCTCTCCTTATCCTTGGCTAGAGCTAGTTCAACTCCCTGTCGCTCTCTCTCTCTCCTCCCACTCACCCCATAGGTTGCATATGAACTTCCTCCCATGGTCCACGAATTGCATGAACGGGTTGATGTATGCCTTGCAGTCTTGCTCCCACCCACCTTCCCAACCCCACCCACTCTCCCAACCCCACCCCTCCCTTCTCTCCCTTCACCAATTCACGCACCACAGAGACTGCATATGAACTTCCTCCCGTGGTCCACGAATCGCATGAAGGGGTTGATGTACGCCTTGCACTCTTGCTCCCACCCACTCTCCCAGCCCCACCTCCCAGCCCCACCCCTCCCCTCTCTCCCTTCACCAATTCACGCACCACAGAGACTGCATATGAACTTCCTCCCGTGGTCCACGAATCGCATGAAGGGGTTGATGTACGCCTTGCACTCTTGCTCCCACCCACTCTCCCAGCCCCACCTCCCAGCCCCACCCCTCCCCTCTCTCCCTTCACCAATTCACGCACCACACAGATTGCAGATGAACTTCCTCCCGTGGTCCACGAATCGCATGAACGGGTTGATGTACGCCTTGCAGCGGTGGCACCTGACGGGCCCCATCTCTCCAAAGTCTACCACCTGGAGAGACAGTGACAGAAGGTTTATGGAAGAGGGAGAGAGGAAAGGGTTGATGACAGAAGGTGCGGCAGTGCGTGAATAAATTAATGATTGTTCAGCTTGGCAGGGCATGAAGGGGTTGGTGCATGCCTTGCAGCGTTGATGCATACCAATCAGCCTACCCCACCCACCCACGCTACTCTCACTCACATGCACGGGCGTGTCAGCCGGGTCCTGCAGGGCGAACGGCTGAATCATGATGCTGAGAGGCATGGCGGAGGTGGTGAGGGGTCCACCCATCCACCCAGCCTGCCAGCCTGCCAGCCTGGCCGAGGCACCAAGGACCCACACACTTAGCCTACCAGCCCTACCAGCCCCACCTGACCCACACTCCTCTCCTCTCACTCACATGCACGGGCGTGTCGGCCGGGTCCTGCAGGGCGAACGGCTGGATCATGATGCTGAGAGGCATGGCGGAGGTGGTGAGGAGAGAGGCCCACCCAACCCATCCCGCCATAAGGGGGTGAGATGAGGTGAGTATAGCAGCCCTACCAGCCCCACCTGACCCACACTCCTCTCCTCTCACTCACATGCACGGGGGTATCAGCCGGGTCCTGCAGGGCGAACGGCTGGATCATGATGCTGAGAGGCATGGCGGAGGTGGTGAGAAGATCCGCAGAGAGAGGTATCTGGGCAATGTGCGAAGGGAAGAGGGTAAGGGGGAGGGATAGAGGGGAAGGGTCGAGGGGGAAGAGTGTGCGACGATGCTAGTGGTGGTGGTGGTCATGGTGCTGAGAGGCATGGCGGAGGTGGTGAGGAGATCCGCGGAGAGGGGAATCGGGATAGAGGAAGGGTGGCAGGTAAGGGTAGGGAAAGAAAGGAAAGTGTGAGATGGCGACAATGGTCTCACCTACTCACACCTACTCACACTCACTCACACCTGCTCGCTCCTCCCCCTGCTCACGCCTGTCCACCTGCTCACACCTGCTCACACCTGCTCACACCTGCTCAAACCTGCTCATACCTGCTCACACCTGCCCACACCTGCTCCCTCACCTGGTTCAAAGACGCTCGGATAAACCGGGGGCTGCAGTTACCCGTGTCGCGGACCACAAACGATGACGTGGCGGCCTGTGATAGGAGCAAGGGCGCGCACGGGCAGGACAGAAAAAGGATTGATTGGAATGTGAAATTGGACGGGCGTGGCATCAGCTTGAAAACCTTTTGCCATGTCGAATTGCAAACCACGATGTGAAATTGGTCGGGTGGGTGGGTGTGGACACCACAAGGCTGGCAACAAACCATTCTCCAGCCACCCACAACAAGCCATCAAGTGAAGCCATGGACTGCAGGAGCAAGCAGAGAAGCAGCACTCACCGGTGGTAGGTTAGCCGTGCCGTTCACTCGTGTCTCAAAGAGAAACGCGTCCGAGGGGGGCGGAGGGCGGGGGATCTGGTTGGGGTCGATCCGAGACCCGGGCGCCGACCCCTGCTGCCCCGCCGCCTGCCCTGTGAAGGGCGCCATGGGCTGCCGCGCGCCCATCCCGGGGGAGGGTGGATGCGCGCCCATACCCGGGGACTGGGGGGGCGCGCCCACGCCTGGGGGCTGGAGCAGGTGAGGGAGGAAGAGGGGTTGGTGGGGGAGGTTAGGGCGCGGACCCCTGCTGCCCCGCCGCCTGGGCTGTGAAGGGCGCCATGGACTGCCGCGCACCCATCCCGGGGGAGGGGGGCGCATGCCCGCCCATGCCCGGGGACTGGGGGGGCGCGCCCACGCCCGGAGGCTGGGGATGGAAGGGGACAGGGGAAAGCGGAAGAGGGAGGAGGGAAGCGGGAGGAAGTGGTGTGAGAGAGGAAAATCAGGGTGCCGACCCCTGCTGCCCCGGCGCCTACCCCGTGAAGGGCGCCATGGGCTGCCGCGCGCGCCCATCCCAGGGGAGGGCAGCTGCATTCCAGGGGACTGGGGGGGCGCGCCCACGCCCAGGGGCTGGGGAGGGGGAGGAAGCAGGGACAAAGGATGAGAAATTGGGGCGACTAGAAACAAATGGGAGAGAGAAATAACCTAACGCGGATTCTTCGCGCGTAGGCCCTCATAACCCAAACGAGAATTCAGTGAATAACTAAACGCGCGTTGGCCCTCACACTGATTAGGGTTTGCATCTGAAAGCGGTATAAAATGCGGATCTTCCCAAATCTCGGAGAACAAACACAAACAACTTATCCGAATCAAATCAAATCAAAGCGAGCGCGCCTGACGATTTGGCAGGGATTGGGAGCAAAGGACGATTTTGAGAAGTCTCAAAGGCAGGGATTGGGAACAAACGACGGCAAGTTTACACGAAAGTGACTTCAACTTTCAAGAGCTGACAGCAGGATTGTGCTTCGGCGCACTTACCGTTCCCGCGGGCATGGGATACGCGCGTCGCTGCGCCGCGCCAGCTGTCGGGGGGGCGCCGAAGGGCGGCGGAGGTCCCGCGCCGGGCATCATGGCTCCGCCAGGCGGAGGGCCTGTCGGGGGAGCGGCGGAGAACGGCGGAGGCGGCGCGTGCTGCCCGTACTGCCCCGGCGCGGATCCGGGCGGAGGCGGAGTATGCTGCGCGTATTGCCCTGGGGTGGACCCGGGCGGACCACCGTATTGCCCCGGGATGGTAGGCGGAGGGCTGCCCATAGCTAGCGCGCTCATCTGCTGGGTTGGCGGAGCGGATTGCGTGGCGGCTCCCCCCCATGACGGCGGCGCAGCGCCAGGCGGAGGGTGAGGCGCTCCGAAGGGCGGGGGAGGGCCTCCGGGCGCGTTAAGGGGCGCGCCTGGCTGCGCCGGCTGCGGCGGAGCGCCGTACGATGGCGGACCGTACGGCGCGGGTCCGGTAGGCGGAGGGCGGGATTGCGCCGGCGGCGGGGGGGCCTGCTGCTGCGGGGGGTAGCCAGGGTACTGCTGCGGCGCACCGGGGTATCCGGAAGGGGGACCGCTGGGGCGGGGCGCGCCAGGGGGAGCGGCGCCTGGCGGAGCGGAACCCGGCGGAGGACCGCCAGGGCGCGGTCCACCCCCCGGGGGGCCCGCGAAGGGGCCAGGCGGACGGGCTGCTCCTCCTGGCGGGCCACCCGCGGGAGGCCCTTGGAAACCCGCAGGCGGACCCGCAAATCCAGCTGGCGGGCCCCGCGCCCCGGGCGGCGCAACCCCCGGGGGAGGCGGACCTGCGGGCCGTGAACCCGGCGGAGGGCCGGCGAACGGTCCCCCAGGGAACGGAGGTCCGGCGGGCCTTGCGCCAGGCGGCTGCGCGGATCCCGGCGCACCAGGCGGAACTTGGCCCAGACTAGGGGGTCCGCGCGGAAATCCGGGTTGCTGCGGGGGGTGCTGGCCCGGGGGGAAACCTGGTCGTGCTGGCGGAGCGGTTCCCGGAGGCGGGCCGTACGGGGGAGCGGCGCCGGGTGGAGAGGGGCGCCAGCCCGGGGGAGGATTCTGAGGCCTCATGGCTGGCGGATGCTACAGTGTAATGGAACCGGTTGGTGTTACAATCTGATGCTACAATCTGATTCCACTAATTGATCGAGCGATCAGAGATTTGCGAGCCAGAAACGGGAAATAAAGATTTCAATGTTCAAAAGTAACTCGAGATCGGAGAAGCTGGAGAATCTACTAGCGTGATTGGAATAGATCCCTAACTCCACCGATCACTAGTTGTGCGAAAGGATCTGCTAGTATGATCAATGAGCCAAAATTGCCGTGAGGAAGGAAGCAGTGTCAGAAGTTCTGGAAGATTGTGTGGTGGAAGGTGGGAACATTTTGAAGTCATGTACCACTGGTATGGTACGTTGCGGTTCGATGTGGTAGAGATCAGTTCCTGGGAATGACAAGAAGACAGCCACTAGTGAAACGGATCTCCAAACCAAACCAATCTGACCCCACCAGCAAACCTAGAACATGCTGCGGCTGGCTGGGGCTCCGCGAGGTGTGATCCGCTGCGCGAAGTGTAACAGTGGCCTAATTACGAAACGATCCTCTTCGTCGAAACCTTCAGGCACACGATTCCACAAAAGAGGTTCGTTTCGCGATTAGGAATCGTGTAACGGGTATGGCGCACCCAAGCCTGCAGTAACACAGTTGCAACCTTCCTGCCATTGGGCTTGCTGGCTTTGGGTCGGGTTCTTACTGTAGCAACGTTATGAGACTATGCATATTGTTATGAGTTGTGAAAGTGAGTGAGCGGACTAGAATAGCTAATGACCATATTACAGAAATGTCGTAAAAACGGAAACTACACAAGATATAGTGAGGGACCTTAGATAGTTAGGGACCTCGGAAGGTGCTAAGTGTGGGCTATATATATCGCTAGGTCATTTTTTCAGGGGGATTCTATGTTGGGCTGAGAAAAACCATTAAGATCTTAGCAGGACTAAATTATGAGTAGGACAATGTAATAGCGGAAGCGTTAAATGAGAACTTTGTGAACCACCTTGCGCTAGCATGTGAGGGCAAAGTAGTTGATTAAAACAAATGGATACAAGCTTTCATAAGAGTACAAGGAATACGAAGAGATACTGTAAGGAAAATCCTTTTTCCTTACTTCGCGTCCCTGCTCAACGCGCACATCACTGTAGCACCACAGTCAGCACCGTTACCACTCGCAATCCTCGCATCGACAATCCACCCGCCATCTTCGCACGTCGCACCCCGACCTCACGGCTCGGCGAGTAACCCGCGCTCCAGGCCTCCGCTTCGACACTTTCCCAACCTCAGTCCCATGCCCATCGCGTGACAACCACAGTCCATTGCCGTTACCACTGTAGTTTCGCTATATATTCTTCGCTCATGCCTTCGCTCATGGTACTCTTGCTTCGATAGTGCAATTCTCGTTCGTTCACTCAATTGCAAACGTAACACTTGGTATTCAGAGCCTACGACCTCTTCTCGGGCCGCACCCACACCTTCGCTTCCCCACTATCTCAATTTTTTGGGGGAGGTAGACGTCCCTCAACGACACAGCACCGCCGCTCGTAGTGCTCTCTCGTAAGCACGCACGGCCACGACTAAGGCTATCGCTGAGCTCGCCCGACACCCCCGCCATGGCCGAATTCACGCTCGCCACATTGACGCAGGAGCAGCTCGACCGTCTGGTGCGCCAACACGAAGATTCGGTGCTCGAAATTGCGATGCTCACAGCGGAACGTGACTCCGCGCGTCAGCAATCAACAGTGAACACTCCAGCAGCACCACACGCACCAACAAATGCATCTGCACAGTCAGACGAGCCGATCGTCATCTCGTCCGGCACACCAACACAAAACAACAGCGTGGGACAGCGCTCAGGCGCAGCCAGCGATGGCGCCGCCCAGCCGATGCCTGGCATGGGTGTTAGAGAATGAGATGGTTGCATTGAAAGAGAAGTGAGTACAAGTACCTAAACCTAGAATTGTGTACCCCCTAAAGGCTAACCCACTGTAGCCTAAGCAACTATAACATATATAATGTTTGACACACCCTCATAGGTGAACTGGGGGAGAGCAAGGGGTCACAAGACCAGTCAAAGCAAAGCAAGGCAAAACAAGCTCAGGGTGGATCTCAAGGATACCACACAAATTCCGAGCACAAGCAAGCGGTCACAAGACCAGTTCACATGCAGTTTGATAATATAACAAGAGATACAGTGATCACAACCTAACAAGAGTAAGTATCCAGGTATATATATAGAGATCACAGTACAAGCAGAGTCAAGAAGTGAGCAAGTGAGGGAAAGTAGGCACAAGGCCTAGAACAGTACAGAAACGCTGATGGTCACAAGGCTGAAGCGCCTTGGTGAACACATCAGCAGTGTTGGCCCGAGTGGCCACGTAACGCAGACGAAGCTGACCACGCTGCTGCAGCTCTCGAGCAAGGAAGTACCGCAGAGCGATATGCTTCGTTCTGTGCTCCAGTTTGTGCTCCTCACACAAGGCAATGGTAGCCTTGTTGTCGACGTACAGCACTGGAGGAGAACTAGGCCGCTCTCCCAGGTGGGTCAGCAGGTAGGTGAGCCAGCGTAACTCCTGTGCAGCCATGGCTGTGGCGTAGATCTCAGCCTCACAACTGGAGCTGAGAACAGAAGAAGAACGAGTAGAACGCCAAGAAACTGAACCAGAGCCAAGGCTGAAGGTGTGACCCTGAGATGACCGCTGCGTAGCCTGGTTGTCAGCCCAAGAAGCGTTTGAGTGCCCAGTGAGTACAACTCGGTCTCGTCCTCCAGGCACTAGCCCCATGCCCGACGTACTGCACAGGTAGCGCAACACCCTCTTAGCAGCATCCATGTGCTCCTTCCGGTGACGGCTAGGAGCTACATAGCGTGCGAGGATGCTAAGAGAGTATGCGAGGTCAGGTCGAGTGCAGGTCATCAGGTACATGAGGCAGCCCACAATCTCTGGATACGGGCCACTCGGCTCTACGGACTCATCCGAAGGCAGAGCTGAGAGCGAGTGACCTGTAGGCAGAGGAGTGGACTGAGACGAGGAGTACTTGAAGCCGAAGCGCTGAAGGACCTGCTGCACCATGTGTGACTGAGTCAAGGTGATGTTGCGCCGTGCTCTGTCCCGGGTGATCCGCAAGCCAAGATAGCTTGTCAGTTCACCCAGGTCTGTGCACGTGTGTCTCTTCTGTAGCTCCGACTTCACGTAGGCGAGTGCCGCAGTGTCAACAGTGGCAAAGACCAAGTCGTCGACGTACACGAGAATGTAGAACGGCGGCAGTGAAGTGTCGGTGCGTAGAAACAGTGACGGGTCAGCACTAGAGTGAGCGAACCCAAGAGCCGCAATTGTAGTCCTCAGTGTGTCGTGCCACTCACGCGGCGCCTGTCGGAGACCGTAGACTAGCCGCCGGAGACTCCACTGGGTACCAGGAGGGAACGACCCAATGAAGCCAGGTGGGCGGCGCAGCCAGATCTCCTCGTGCAGGCTGCCCTGCAGGAAAGCAGTGCTGAAGTAAAGAGAGTGGAGCTCGTAGTCACGCTGAGCGGCGACGTGCAGCAGAACCCGAAGAGTGGTCATCTTCGGGGTCGGGGAGAAGGTCTGGAAGAAGTCCACTCCCTCTCGCTGTCTGAAGCCTTGTGCAACGTAACGTGCCTTGAAGACAGGCGGAGAACCCGGTGGCCGCTTCACCCTGAAAATCCACATACCACTGATGTAGGTGCCTGTGGACTTCCAGGAAGCCATCTCTGCGTCCATGGCTGACTGCCACTGAGAGGAGTAGGGACTCTCAATCGCCTCAGCGTACGATCGAGGAGTCGGGATGTCTAGTGCATCCGAGTCTCCCTTAGGGGCAACAAGCATGGACACGAGATGAGGTAAAGCAGCGGCGAAGCACTCAAACTCCTCCTGCCTGTCCTCTAGAACGTCCGTGCCAAGAGCACACTCACCCCCGACGGACGGAGGATAGACAGACTCAGACTCAGCAACTAGGCTAGCGGCGTTGTCTAGACGACAAGTGGCAGCAAAGTCGACAAGCTCAGCAACTAAGGCAGACGCAGCAGCGGACTCAAAGGAAGGGTCAGTGACAACAGTAGCCAGGAGTTGCGTGACAGTAGGATTGGTAGCGCGAAGGGAGTCAGACTCCGGGTCAGCAAGAGCAGGAAGAGAGGACGCAGGAGGAGACGGGAGAGGGACACGCTGGGGAGCAGTGGAAGGACGCAGAGTCATATAGTGTGTGCCAGGGACAGCAGGAGGACACTCACGCGGAACACGGCTAGCAGTGCGAGCAGCACGAACAGGTGACGCAGGACGAGACACAGGTGACACAGGACGAGACTCCGGCTCACGACGCACTGTAAGACCGCCTGTCGGACCAGTGTAGGGAGAAGGACCAGGAAGGGGCGAGGCAGGCGGCAGTTGTGACTGCGACTGGACAGACGGAGGACACTCTAAGGAGGGAGGAGGACGACGAGGAGGAGGCTGACCAAGAACCTGCTGAAGGAGCGGAACAAAGTACGGCCGCGGCCGTGCAGTGTCTCCAGAGCCAGGAAAGACACCAGCGCGAGGGTCCACAGCACCAGCAGCAGCACCAACGCCCGAGTCCGCAGCACCAGCAGAAGCTCCAACGCCCGGGTCCGCAGCACCAGCAGCACCTCCAACGCCGGGGTCCGCAGCACCAGCAGCAGCTCCAACGCCCGGGTCCGCAGCACCAGCAGCAGCTCCAACGCCCGGGTCCGCAGCACCAGCAGCAGCTCCAACGCCCGGGTCCGCAGCACCAGCAGCAGCTCCAACGCCCGGGTCTGCAGCACCAGCAGCAACTCCAACGCCCGGGTCCGCAGTATCAGTAGCAGCTCCAACAACCTGGTCCTCAGCACCAGCAGCTCCAGTAGCTGGGTCCGTGACATGAGGAGCGCCACTTCTGAGAGTGCAGCACCGTGTGTACCACTCGCGAAGCCGCTGGGGAGAGGGCAGCTCCCGCCTAGGTGGGGAAGCACGAGCACCAGCTCCAGCAGCACTCCGAGCTCCAGAAGTACCTCT